TATGTACATTTTAGGTGCTATTATGTACATTTTAGGTGCTAATATGGACATTTATGTGCTAATATGTACATTTTAGGTGGTAATATGTACATTTTAGGTGCTAATACATTTTAGGTGCTATTATGTACATTTTAGGTGCTAATATGGACATTTTAGGAGCTAATATGGACATTTAGGTGCTAATATGTACATTTTAGGTGCTATTATGTACATTTTAGGTGCTAATATGGACATTTATGTGCTAATATGTACATTTTAGGTGGTAATATGTACATTTTAGGTGCTAATACATTTTAGGTGCTAATATGGACATTTTAGGTGCTATTATGTACATTTTAGGTGCTAATATGGACATTTTAGGAGCTAATATGGACATTTAGGTGCTAATATGTACATTTTAGGTGCTATTATGTACATGGTGCTAATATGGACATTTAGGTGCTAAAATGTAAATTAAGGTGTTATTATGTACATTTTAGGTGCCATTATGTACATTTTAGGTGCTAGTATGTACCATTAAGGTACCAATATGCACCCTTTAGGTACTTTTGAAAAGGTACAGCCCCAGTGACAGCTTTTGTACCTTTTTTTCTGAGAGTGTAGCCGGCTCGTTGTCGAATGCATATTGCACACAAAAACAATAATTTTAAAAACTTGACAAGTAATCAGTATGTCTCATTTTATTTTGTAATACTAGTGTTGTGGCTAGCTGTTAGCATGTTGCTATAGGTTTGCCAAGTCAGAAGACCCCAATCCCAACTCTACTCTAGACGTCCTACACTGTAAAAATGAATATGCTTTATCTAATCAAAAAAAAATGTGGCAACAGATTACAAGCAATATTATGAATAATGAGTAACAATTAATCAAGTTAATTCCTTAAAAGTTAACCATTTAAAATGAGAAACTTACAACAACCAAAAAAAAAAAAAAAAAAACATAAATTGAAGTCACCATTATGATGATCGGTGTTTGTTTTAGGTTTGTTTTAAAATGATGTTTTTTCTCCGTCAGTGATTCTGCGTGTTAACATCAGGTGTCTTCAATGTTGGCAATATAAAACAAAGAGTTCTCAATTAATCTTTGACGTCTGTCTGTTAGTGAGATATTTTTGTTACGTTTTTTGGTGTAAACTTTACTCAAATTTAATTAATAATATTGCTTGTAATCTGTTGCCACAATTATATTGATAAGATAAAGCATATTCATTTTTACAGTGTAGACTGGAATCTGCCCTCGGTTGTAGGTTTTTCAGGTTTGGATCCAATCAGGTGAAAACTAAGTTCAATTGTTTATAAAAGTAATAGCACAGGTATCATTCATGTCCATTGCACATACGCTTTGGGGCGAGTTACACAATGAAGTTTAATACTTAGGTTTCAAGGTTTGTGCAAACACTGCTAATAGACTTCAAGATGCACCAGACTTTATAGCGACACTGAAATGTCTGCCTGAGTGAGACAATAAAATCCTTTATTACACTTCCAGGCCTCAAAGAGAAGTTGTCGACCTCAGAGTTATGTTATAAAACCCTTCCTGGCTCACTAGGCGGCTCTCATTGCCAGAAATTGATAGATGTTTTGCTCGAGCACCTTCGTCCTGTCATCCATTCTGTTAGAAATTCATTTCTGATGTTCAACCTCTCCCTTATTTTCACTGTCTTTTCATTCCATTTGTCTTTTTTTCTCCTCCACTGAAGTATTCCTGCTCTCTATGCTGTGGGCGGCTCACGCAACCTGGCTGTAATGGCCGGTTATTTTCCGACTGGAGTTTTTCCTCGTCGCCTGCGGCCAGATATCCGAGATTATTTGATGATTCCTTTTGTGCGCTTTTGACTCCGTCAGTCAGTGACTTCAATAGGGCCGTGGTCATCTCATTCCCTGTCGTTATGAAGCACTTTACTGATAACGGCATGAGCCCTCAGGACAGGTTTTCAGAGGTGTTTCTGCAGGCCTGTGGTTTAGATGCTCGTTTGGAGGGCCGGCGAATGTCTTCCCTTCTCTCGCTGATGCAGCTGGTGTCCGCGCACAGCTCAATGGGCTTCATTCACTCAGAGCCAGAGGAAGAGAGGCGTCTGCTTTCTCTCGGGACATGGACGCCTCTAGGGACCTGAACTTCCTGTCACACACTCTCATGCTGCACTGATCCTCTTTGTGTCACTCCCTTCCTCGTTTTCATTCAGCTCCCCAAACAGTTGGCTGTGAAATTATCGCTTCTTATTATTCATTTTAGGTGGAATCACATCACAATATTATTATTAGATTTTTTTTTTAATGCATGTTTTGTTTGATTTGCTCCAATTGGGTATCAGTAGCCTCAGGATGCGCTCTTAGAACAAATGGTTCTATTTAGAACCAGAAATGGTTCCATCCCCTGCTTCATATATGGAACTCAAAAATGGTTCTATATAGAGCCATTTTTTGGTAAAAGGTTCTATTGGCCAAGTATGGAACCCAGAGGAACCCTTTTTTTAAGAGTGCATAGAACCTTTTAGGAGTTCCAAATACGTAGCGCTGATGGAACCTTTTAAGGTTCTATATAGAGCCTTTTCTTCTAAGAGTGTGCTTATAAAGTGTATGCATATAAATGTGTGTATATGTGTATATATGTATGTAAGCTTTTCTTATATAAATAACCTGTTTCTGTCGTGCAGATGGTGTTTCAGTCTTTGGAATTCCAATCTGAGCAGAGCTAATATAATCATTTGTGTTTGTGTGCTTTTCCGTGTGTTTGTGAGAGATAGAGGTCATGTGGTAGAATGTTCTTCTTTCTACCAAGATAAGAGTTGTATCTGTGGCAGTTTATGCACATTAGAGGCATGCTTCATATTCTCAACCGTCCATTATCTTTACCTCTTTTCTCTAGCCCTCATTACTCTGCCCTCCTGTCGTGGAAGTGTTTCTCTCTCTCTCATTGTATTGTTTGTTCTGTAATTGCATTGCTTCTTGTGGGTATATCAGAATGGCAGCATATGGGATTTGATCGGGTCTTTCTGTCTGTCTAAATGGTTCTGTGTGCAAAGGAGCGTACAGCTCATGTGTTTTTGAAGTTTGTCCGACTCTTTTGGGATGTTGTTGTATATAGTCAGTTGAAATGTGTTTAATCAAAGCCCTGTTTGCTGAAGAGAAATTTATGAGTTCAGTGCATGCACTTGTGCAAATACCATTACCATTTAAAAATGTGTGTTTTACAATGGTAAGATTTTTGAAAGATGTCTCTTCTACTCAGCAAGGGCTGCATTTATTTGCATTTAAAAAGAGAGTTAATAATAATAATAATATTACAATTTGAAATAGCATTTCCATTTGAATATATTTTAAAATGCAATCTATTTCTGTGATGCAAAGCTGAATTTTTATTATCATTACTCAGTCTTGAAATCTATTAAAGGGATAGTTCACCCAAAAATGAAAATTTTGTCAGTCACTATACTCACCCTCATGTTGTTCCAACCCTGTAAGACCTTCGTTCATCTTCACAACACAAATTAAGATATTTTTGAATTGAGAGCTGGATCACTCCTCCATACTAGTCCATAGGCTTCTTGAGGGATTGGAAAAAAAAAATGTTTAAGTTTGATTAGAAAATCTTACTTAAAATAAGTACTTATCTCAAAAGTTATGTAATCAGTTTCTTTTTTTTCTTTTTTTTAAACATTTGTTTGTTGTTTTTTTCAGTGACATATCAAAATGAGGTGGTAACAATTCGAGAATCAAAACGAGTATCGAGTGTCAAGTAGAACTTACAAGAAAGGAAAAAAAAACCCACACAAAATGGTCACCCACTGCTAAATAAAAGCTCAATATGCTCACTTACAAAGAAACAAATAAAAACATCCCAGCATGCTACTAATTCGCATAAAAAAATACAAAATAAATAAAACCTCATGTAATCAGTTTCTACAAAAGTTTTGAGTACAATGAATTTATTGGGCTTTACAGTGTTGGAACAACATGAGGGTGAGTCAATACGTCAATACTGACAGAGTTTTAATTTTTGGGTGAACTATCCCTTTAAATCTCATCAGTCTCACATCTTCAGTGTCGCATCACGTGATCAGAAAGATTCAGAAGTCTTAAATTATAAAAATAAAGGCCAATTCAAAAGATAAACAAATAGTACTCTTTTTATAACAGCTAAATTATTGTTTATTATTAATACTCTGATCTGAAAAGATGTGGCGGTTGCTTGTCTGTGTTTAATCTGGTGCTTTAGAGCTTTTTTGAATGGTTTAGTAACTTACAATTATTGAATTGAATGCATGTAATTGCAGGTACACGATGAGTGTTTTTCTGACTCGCCATTCAAAAGGGAATTGTGCATTGAAATATTTTAGTCATGTTGGGCTGCAGAGGTGTTTAATTCAGATTCGTGATGGAGGGAGAGAGATTACAAAGAGAAATGGTGTGTTTGTTTTGAAAAGGCCCACGCTGAGAATATTCTGTAATTACTCTTTCTGCTGAGAGACTTGCCAGAGAAAAAGAGAGAGAAACAGCATGTGTGAGAATGAAGGTGAGAGTCTTGACTCAGACCGAAATAGAGCGTGTCTGTGTGTGTGATTAACCCTCACCGCTCTCTTCTCGTCCTCTACTGTCTCTCTGTCACTGGGGTCACGCATGATCCTGCTCGACGGCAGTGACACACGACATCTGTCTGTCAAAGACATCAACCAGATTCAATATTGATGTCGCTGTTGATTTTCTTTACTTCCAAGCTCCAAAATGACATTAAAGTATCATCTATACAACATTAAAGTTTGTCACTGAATGTCTTCATATAAGAACATTCAATCATGACATGATTAATGTCAAACCTTTTTAATGCTTTTAGGTGCTTCAAGTGTCAAATTTGAGACAGTGTTTATTGTTGAGCTGTGGTTGTTTGTTGTATGGTTAGTTATTGAATTACTGCATCATCTATAACCCTCACACACACACACACACACACTCGAAATTGATGCCATGTGTCTCAGTACTGTGTTTTATGTTCTTTGTCTCCAGCCATCTATAACTATGATGCTCGCAGTGATGAAGAGCTTTCCTTACAGATCGGGGACACTGTACACATTCTGGAGACTTATGAAGGTGAGACACACAAACACACACCTTATGTTTTTTGACTAGATGTGACACCGTAAAGCATCAAAATGAAAAGTGGCACATTTTTAACTGTTATATATTATGATGATCTGCGTTCATCAAGCTTGACCGTTCAACCCTTTACCAAAGCTATTTTAAGAAGGAAAAAAGATTGATACTTTATTACTTTTACAAATATTTATTTTTTTAAATTTTGGAAAAAAAAAATATTTTTCAAAATTTGGTCTCAGACAAGCCGCTATGGAATGATTGGTTAACTTAGGCAAAATAATATAAATGTTTATTTATATTATTTTATTTTTTATTTTATTTTGTACACATTTTTATTTAATTTATTTATTATATTTTTTTTCTAATAATTTTATATATAATTAACTAAACTAAAAAAAGACATATAAATAATAAAAAATAAAAATAAATAAATTAAAATAATAGTAATAATATAATTAAAATATTAAAATAAATAAATTAAATTAAAGGAAAAGAAAAACACTGTAAACTTAAAAGGTAATATTTGTCTTTTTTATTTTAATGTTTACATATTCATTTCTAGAAAATGGCAAAACTACAACCATAGTTTTATCAGTTTTTCAGAGTTGCAAGAATGAATAGAACAACTCAATATAAATAATTTGCCCGTGACATTTTTTGACCTCTCAACTTATTTAGCTCTCAGTGAGCATTTAATGATGAAAAATCTACTTCTAACTATTTATGAAGAGTTTCACACACTTGTTTGCACCCCTATTCATGTAAAGTGTCTATTTCAGTCCTTTTAATACCTCTAAACACCGATATGTCCTGATTAGACCTCTCCTCTTCCCTGCAGAACAACCCGATCTCAATAACACACACTTTAGTCTTGAATGATTTGTTCATAGCTCGCAGACATGCCCGCTCCCTCACTTCATATCTCCAGGAGATTTATGGAACGTGTCTTTTATAATCTCACAATATTGTTTTCTAGAGGGACACAGTGGCGTCGCTCTGTAATCTAATTGTTGGTATTTTCATCTGACTGCTGTGATATTTCTTGCTCTTCTCAGGATGGTATCGAGGGTATCGGCTGAGGAGAAAATCGAAGAAGGTGAGTTACTGTATGAAACGGTTCAGCTTCCATGTTGAATTAAATCATTCTGCAGACCTCAGCTTGAGTTTTTCCTTTGTTTGCTCATTTCTGATGTACTCTTCTGTGCACAGGGTGTGTTTCCGGCTTGTTACATCCATCTGAAAGAGGCCACGGTTGAAGGCAGTGGGTCAGTATGTTTATTTACATTTCCTGGAAGTTTGTATTTAGCTAAAAATAAGGAGGCATTAGCTGTTTTCCCAAAGGAACTCTTTTCGGCCACGCGTGACCTGCATGTATTCTTCATGGAGAACGCTGGTCTCAAATCTCAGGATTTGTTTCTTAATGGGAGATATGATTACTAGATCTGCTTCATTCACTACTCAAAAGTATCAAATAGGGCTGTGGTCAACCAAAGAAATCCGTCGACCAAAGTCTTGTCCTGCGCAACGATTAGTCGACCAAAAAAAAAAAAAAAGACGGGATGTTTTGATTGAACATTTTTTAACAGTTGTCATAGAGCATAGAAAATTACATGCCTTATGATTACATAACTTATATATTTTATAAAGCAACAATGAAAAATCATCAAAGATGCATAAAACTATAATAATAATACTCGCACTTTTAAAATAATAAAAAACGCACTTTTCATCCAAAGACTTTAAAGTGCTACAGGTTAAAAACAATAAAAGATAAACAGTTCTTTAAAAAGAGAGAAGAAAAAAATAATAATAATAATACATTTTATTTATAACGCACTTTTCATCCAAAGATCTCAAAGTGCTACAGGTTAAAAACAATACAAGATAAACAGTTCTTTAAAAAGAGAGGAAAAAAAACATTTAAATTCTTTGCAAATTAAGTGAGGAGCTCTGTGACTGTCCTAGGCCTGTAGTGACCATCTACAGCCCAAAACACAGCATTGTTTTGGATGTTTGACAAGTTCAGTGGCAAAATGCTTTTTTTAAATATATATATATATATATATATATATATACTGTATATATACAGTGGTGGAATGTAACGAAGTACAAATACTTCGTTACTTTACTTAAGTACATTTTTCACGTATCTTTACTTTACTTAAGTACAATAAATAGTGCATACTTTTTACTTTTACTTCGTTACATTTTGCAGCAATTATTTTACTTTCTACTCCACAACATTTCTACAACTTCTGTTACTTTTTCATTACATTTTCTGATCAGTTTTTCCCCTGCCAAAACGTAATCTGACCGTCCGTTCGTTGCACGTTTGTCTCACCAGTGACGTTTGGTTACCATAGATACAGTACATCAACCCGGTCACACTAAATGCGTCTTGCACGCAGTGTGTTTATCGTGCAACTCATACGCGAAAATTTGTTTTTACGTGCATAGGAAACACACCGTGTGTAATATATGTTTGGTTTGGTTAGGATTATGGCAAGCCAAGAGGTTCAGAATTACACCATAAATTAATCTCGTTTACTGCCAAACATAGTTATTAACATAAGTTAGTAAAGATAAGCATGTTTATATTGCCTAATTGCAAGCTTGTTTCAGAAATGGTGACATTTTTTTCCATCATTATTGAACATCATTATGGAGTAGGCTATTAGGTTGAATGAGTTAGAATTAAATGTTTTATTAATCATTAGAAAATAGACATTAAGATAATAAATTGTTATGCAAGTACTTTTACTTTTAATACTTAAAGTACATTTAAAATAAAGTACTTTTTACTTTTTACTTAAGTATGGTTGTCATTGTGTTACTTTTACTAAAGTAAATATTTATCTGGGTATTTGTACTTTTACTTAAGTACTGAGATTCAGTACTTCCTCCACCACTGTATATATATATATATATATATTTGTGTGAGCACTAAGCGAACCAGATCTAAATGTATTATCTTCTTTGTTTTGGTCCAGAACAAAAGAGAACCAATCTACACCCTTAGTCTAATCACATCACAATCACAACCACAACATATTTTCTTCTCTATGTAGGCCGTAGGCAGCTTACTATGTTTTGGTACATATTTGCTTTAAACTCATGAAGATCATGTTACTTCTGTTGTTGGTCTGATTATATCAGTGTTGGTCCCTGAATCCAGCCTCAGTGAACAACATCCTTCCCATAGACGTCTTACTAAAACAAGTTAGCGCTCCACCAGCCCAGCGCCAGCCTAATAGGAGATTTTCGAGTCCAAAATGGATTTTCGAGTGTGTTTCAGGAATATAATACACATGAGTGAGTGTGTGTGTGTTTGTGTGTGTGTGAGTAATTGGAATCGAGAGCAGAGCCCAGCTCAGATTTCATAACAGCTGTTTTGATGACTGATGCTGGTAATTAGTTTTCATTGGTATGAAGGGATCTGAATGACTCCAGGACCTCTGAAGCCCGTATTAAGCTGGAATTACTGACATGAATAGAGTGAGATGCAGTTAAACAGCCTATTGTTTCCCGCACAAGTGATATTCTTTGAAAAGCTCCTTCACTTTTATTGTGCTGCCTATGTTTATTCAATTTTTTTGCACTCTTTTCCCTTTCTTTCTGTCGCTAGACAAAAGGAGACGGTCATTCCTACTGAGCTCCCGCTGGTTCACGAGGTCACGACTACGCTGCGAGAATGGGCGACGATATGGAGGGACCTATATGTGGTAACCCTGCATTTTGGCATTGATCTCAAGACGTGGTTATATATTTCAAAAGTTGCAAACTAGACCCATTACACAAAGAGTGCATAGTTTGAAATTATGGCGGCAGCTTTCCGAATTATGACATCATCAAATTGACACATCATCAACTTCATAGTCAGGATTTGACAGGCGAGGCACTGTTTGACAAATAACTTATTTTTGATTTGTTAAAGTATATATTTACCCTACGAGTAGTTTTTGCTATGAAATTATCCTTGCATGGTGTTAAAACACAAACAAACAAGCAAACAAACACGTACGGGTGTGTAATATAAATGCAATCTGACTCTAATATGGCATTGTCATGTGATCTATGATGTCAGTTGCATCACTTCTCCACTAATTACAAATCTCACCCTGAATATATCCTCTAAAACATTGCTTTATAAAATTTAAAAGTGATATTGATGTCAATTGTACCTTTTGTGACGGTTGCCCTGAAACTGTGTTTCGTTTATTTTGGCATTGCCCATTTGTTAGACCATTTTGGTAAAATGTCAAACATTTATGTTGTTTTGGATATTTTATTTGGTATTTAGGAGAACAGTAGAATTAAGCATGGTCAGATTTATATAATTGATTTTATTCTTTTAATGGCAAAATGTTCATAAATGCAAATTCTCCTGTAAAAAAACGTATTTTACTTCATTTAGGAGCTTTACATTGATTCACTCCAATTTTCTATGAAGCAAAAAGCAATTAAAACATTGAAAATGTGCATCTTAATATACAGTAAGGTAACAATACCCCCCTAGTGTGAAAGTCTTTGTAATATCTATGTTGTATACACAATGTATACACAAATGTTTGCACAATTTTGTTGATATAAAAAAAATCTTCCCATATGACCTCATGGGATGCACACTTTAAAATCTTGGCATAATTAGTAGGTCATCTGGGTGTTTTGGCAACTTTTTATCAATACTGTTCATTTTACACACTTTTTTCACTATTATCAACATGACTGCAAATACATAGTCATCATTGACATCATCTAGTCAGCATTTTGATGATAGCACGTCACTCTTCATAGAACAAACATTCATCTGCTATGACACACTGCAACATTGCAATTTTCTCTAATAAATCTGATCCCCGTTGCCTCGGCGTGATGTTAAGAAGCTCTGACATGATATATAAATTAAATTAGTTTTTTTAAGTTCTCCAAAAAGAGTCTCATTGACAGTTTGTAAACTCTTTTAATTGAATAAGTACGCAGTATGACACTCGGGGGGTCTTTGTCTGCAGTGATTAGGAGCCTTTACGCCGCAGCATGTGCTTTGACAAATTAATTACCACGCATTGCAGGGTTTTAAACAGACTTTGTGTTTCCAACAGGGCGACAAGCGTGAGATGTTCAACACGGTCCGAGACATGATCTATGACTTGATCGAGTGGCGCTCCCAGATCCTGTCCGGCACGCTCCCGCAAGACGAGATGTCGGAGCTCAAACAGAAAGTCACCTCCAAGATGGACTATGGGAACAAGTATGAACACACTCCCACACACACACACACACAAACACTAACTGCTGACTCATTCTGATTGGGTTATGGTAGAACAGGGAGCGCTTGAGCTGGAAGTCACGACTGCAGTACGTTACATAAAATCTGACTTTTAATGAGAGCGTTCACTGTTGTATTACTCTTCATTTTTTATTCAGGGTCTGTTTTTGCTTTGATGATATTCTTAATCAGCGGTCTGTGCCGTTGCTCATACTTGGGTTTAAGATTCCTTAACTTTAAGTATTAAATGTGGATGCTGTCTGATGATTTTTGTCTGGAAAAACGATGAAACATGCAAAATGTCCTTACACTGAAGGGCCATTAAGTGTCCACCCTTTTTTCTAAGTACGGAAGAAAGCCTTTTTGTTTAATGAAGTTCAGTGAATGGTAAAAAAAATGCTACAAACTACAAAAAGTATTAATAAATTAAAATATTTTGACTGCAAATACCAGTTTACAATATCAAGCAGCATAACAGACTGTTTGTGTACAGCTAAAATACAGATGACACCGGATTCCTTGCATATTCATATCCCACTCTTATGTCAAAAGATACATCCTAGCAACTGCATAGCAACACCCTGGCAACCACCTGGTTTTGACTTTTGCACGGGCAAGTGTTATCAGAAAAAAAACACTCCACACTGCACAGTGACATTGGATCAACCAATGGTGTTAGTTTGGGGCGGGGCTATCAGTTCAGCTGACCAATGAAAAACACGGAAAACCTGTCTGAGTGGTTTTGCAATTCCATTTGGGTATTTACAGTGGTGCAGACTACTTTCTGCTCATTAACCACATTGTGTTAATTTAAGTGTTTATCTGTAGAAGGAAGTCAGTATACAGATGAGATTATAGAACCGCTGTGGTCAGGAGTGACACAAATACACACATGTACATCTCTCAGTTCTCAGTTAAAGTCTCTGTCTTTCTCAACTTGGTTTGGGTGAAAGGTCTTTTATTCTTACATAAGTGTCACTCAAATTCATTAGAAATCAACTCGATGCACATAGCCGTTTTTCCAGTTCCACGTAGCAGATGATTTCGTCCAAATTGATTTAAAATGTAAAACCAAGTCTGTTTTTGAAATGTTTGTGTGCTTGGCAGGTATTTAGACTTGGATCTGGTGGTTAGAGATAAAGATGGGAATATTCTTGATCCTGACCTGACCAGCACTGTCAATCTGTTCCGAGCGCATGAAGCCGCGTCCAAGCAGATTGAAGCTCGCATCCAAGAGGAAAAGGTAAAGGTTCATCCTTTATGGCACAATAGAAACATTCTGCTTTTTTTTTTAAAGTCTATGCTTCATTTAGATTTCTATATTTAAATGTGTTTGTTTGGTGTTCTTGGATTGTTAATCTGGAAGGCCTTAGAGCAAACGTTATACTCGCTTAGGCGCTTCGTTTTGCATTGTTATTTTGGTCATCACCACCTCCTGATGTTTAATAAACACCTTTAATTATAACTGTTACTTCATTTAAATGTGTGACTGTCAAGCACAACCACTAAACCACATAAAAAAGTCCCTGACCGCAGCTCTCAAACACTGTCACTGACGTGTGAGCGTTTACACAGGAACAGAGAGTGTGAGACTGAACCATCTCACTTCCTATCTTGCTGTGAGGCTCAATGTGACACATGGCTGGGTGAAAAAAAATCTCAATATTTTTCAACCTTTCGACAAGATGCAATGTATATTATTTTTTTTTCCGAATCAGAGGAACCATTACTTTCAAACAGCCTTTGCGAACTTACAATGTTTAATGCAAGAAATACAGCAAAAAAAAAAAAACAAAACAAAAAAAACATAAAAAATATAATTATTATAATTATACAATAATAAATTAAATAATTTATTTAAAATAATTATGAATGATTGAATGAAGTTTTTGATGATGAATGGCTATAATTAATGGCTAAAATGAAGAAAATATTCATTATTATAGAAGCAGTATTGGTGATACTGGCCTTTATTCGTAGTACTTGGTAAAAAATTGCCATTAAACTTTCTACATTCATTTGGAGATTCATTGTGAAATAATAATAATAATCTACACATGCAAATAATGTAATATATTCTGTAATATATTGCTGAAAAATGAGAAATTAATTAATTTTTAATGACAACACTAATATATAATTCAAGCATGTTTTCCACACTGTTTTCAATAAATGAATACAAGAAATAATTATATTTATTTTTATCAATTAAATGCGCCTTTATACTATAGTTATTTTCAGGGCTGTGCAAAAATTAATTGCGATTAATCGCATCCAAAATAAAAGTCTGTGTTTACATAATATATTTGTGTGTGCTGTATATAATTATTTTGTATATATAAATACCTATGCATGCATGTATAGATTTAAGAATTATTTGCGCTTAAATTCTTATATATATATATATATATATAAATACATAATCTAAATTATATAAATATAAATATTTTATATATGAATAACACATTTTCTTAAATATATACATGCATGCATAGGTATATATATTATTAAGTATTTATATATAATATTTATATATATTAATAATTCTTAAATATATACATGCATGTATATATTTAAGAAAATGTGTTATTCATATATAAAATATTTATAGAATTTAAATTATGTATTTATATATATATATATATATATATATATATATACAGAATTTAAGCGTAAATAATTCTTAAATATATACATGCATGTGTGTGTTTATATATACAAAATAATTATATACAGCACACACAAATATATTACGTAAACACAGACTTTTATTTTGGATGCGATTAATTGCAATTAATTTTTGCACAGCCCTAGTTATTTTATTAGTAGTATTTTTATTTAATTTCATATTTATATTGATTTTATTTTTGTACTTTTTAGGTAACCTAATAGTCAAATGCTCAATAAAATCACAACAAAATATCTATTATGACATCACTCAGCCCTAGTGTTACGAGAGTCAGGGCTTCTTTAGACAGAAGTGTGTTCTCATGAATCTTCACACACACTTATGGCCAGTCTATGAGGTTAACATCTCTGTTTGACCTGTGTGTTCTCACAACGCCTCTCTGTTGACTGTTGAAGCACTGTAGTGCTTTTAGATGAGTCATTCACCATGTTAAAAACTGAGCAGGTGCTTCCCTTGAGACAGGAGTTTTCCTTTAAGATCGGTTACGTTGAAGGAGACGTTCACCCAAAGTCGAAAACTGTGTCATCATTTACTCACCCTCATGTTGTTCCAAACATTTTGAGAACACATCAGCACTGGTGACCTTTCCCATGTGACCCTACCCAGATGTTCACTGTCCCTGAGTCTCTTTCACCAGATACAGATTGCATAAGTGAAATAGGGCCTGTCTACACCTGATCAATTAATGTCTTTTTGCTGATTGGATAGCTATCTGATTCGATTAAACAATTCCATTTACACTTGACCGCATAAATGTCTGCACAAAACTAATATATGAAGAGTTCAGCTGCAAAAGCCTCTAAATACCATTTGAAATTTTCTTCTTTAATGATGATTTTTATCAAACTTGTATATTTAAGTTCAGTAATTTCACTTAAATAACAATTAATAGGTAATTATCATTACCATTTAAGTGAAATTACTGAACTTAAATATACAAATTTGATAAAAATCATCATTAAAGAAGAAAATTTCAAATGGCATTTAGAGGCTTTTGCATCTGAACTCTTCATATATATATATATATCCGATCCTCAATCCCTGCGCTATATGCTAATTTAGCCGAGTTCACGTCAATGAAATCAACAGATATGAGCTGCATTTTATTTATCATCAGCTAATTTCAAGATCAAAGACCGCATTAGGAGAGAGAGCGGATTCAACACTGGTAAGATAATTTAGTCTCACTACTTTTAATGAAGATGATTGTGTTTTAAGGTTCTGCAACTTAGTTTCAGTTTCATTTGATGCTGTAGGGCTTTCATATCTGGCTATAACATGTCCGATCGCCATATAGGGGTGGACTGGGACTAAAAGTGACCCTAAACTTTCCGGCCCACGTTGCCCAGTCCACAACACACCTAATGCAACACAACAGCTCATTTTGCACAGAGCAATTTAACACCACCTACCAGCTTAAACATATAACAATAAAGACATAGAAATATTTATATTTTTTTTATTCAAATTATTTTTATGCTTATATAAATGTAATAAATGAATAAATGCAATTGCAATAAGACATTATAAGTATGTTACCATTCAAATGTATCTTTTATCTGCATAAGCTGCATCTGAAGTGTCATTTAGATGTATTTACACTTGTCCAGTTTGGAATCGTGAAGTGATTTGAGTGCGTTTCGGCATTTACACCTGGTCTTTTCACGATCGAATAGCCATCCCATCAGAGAACACGCATGAAGTGACCAGGTGTAAAAAGTCCCATGAATTCGTTGAGACTGACAGTGATTAACGCCTGTGTAATTAGTCTGGCTGACTTTGACTCGAAGCACATTTGAAAGATTGATTGCCATAGTTTTTATGGATTTATTTCTTTTTCAGTCTCAGAAGCAGAACATGGATTTGAGCAGGCAGGCGAAGTTTGCCTCCACACCCTCGTTTGCCTTGTTCGTCACGCTCAAGAATGTCGTGTGCAAAATCGGAGAAGATGCAGAAGTGCTGATGTCACTCTATGATCCGATCGAGTCTAAGTTTATCAGGTCAGCGCACACACTTGGATGCATGAGAAGCCAAGCGACATAACGGTCAAAAAATGACTTGGTTCAGATATGTAAAGTCATTTTTTTAACATTATTTAATATTATTATTAGGCAAGGCAAGGCAAGTTTATTTATATAGCACATTTCATACACAATGGCAATTCAAAGTGCTTTACATAGAAGAAATTAAAATAATCAAAAGAAATCAGAATAATTAAAACAGTTTAGAATAAAAAATAAGAATTAATGAAAAATAAAAATTATGATAAAAATAAAATGCAGTAAATTAAAACCATTTAGAATAAAATGAAGTGCAGTAACAGTCGGATGAACAGTCATTAAGGAACAATATTATTATAATTATATTTACTTTTATGATTATATTTAATTGTAATTAAATATATTTAATACTATAAATTAATTAATTTGACCTTACCCTCATTTGGCAGCCATGACATTTTACACATTCTCTTTAGTACATCAACCACAGTGTTAGTACCATAAACACAATTCTCAATGGTTTGTTTCAGCAGTGAATGGTGAATTTTAGTATACTTGAGTGTGTTTCACAGAGAAATACATTCGCATTTAGCATTTTTTTTTTTTTTTTTTTTTTTTTACCCACATGCATTACAGCTGTACATTTATCAATATATGTATTACTGGGAATCAGTCCTATGACCCTGACTTTACCATCTGAGCTTTTGGAGAAAAAAGTCTGTAGTAAAATGAATGCCATTAATATCTTATATATTTATTTCTACATTTTCTTGCAGTGAAAACTATCTTGTACGGTGGTCCAGCTCAGGTTTGGCGAAAGACATCGATCAGCTGCATAACCTGCGTGCCGTATTCACGGTACTTTTTATTTTCAGCTTTACTTTTGACCCATTTCAGTCAAGATTATCATGTTTTTAGTTATCACTTACGCTGTCCTCTACTAAAAATGCATGTGATTTTGTTGGATATGTGGTTATGATAATGCCATGTTTTAAAATGGCAATTCACTACCAGGTTTTAGAACAACGCTAATTTGGGGCATGTGTGCGAACCGCTAGGCCACACATGAAAGCCTTCACACGCATGACCTAATTTGAACACTTAAATGTGTCGTCCTGTTCATTACCGGCTCGTTCCTGGAAACATCGTCATGTAAATGACTCGGTTACGGCTTGATTCCATTCGTCTGTTCCCCGTCTCTTGCATTGTTCCTTAATGAGTAATCACGGTATTATTGGGTGACACTTTAATTCGTGTTCATCAGTCGTGTTGTCGAATTGGTAATTAAAGTGTTGGAGAAAGCAGCATCATCATTAACGCTGTAAAGGGTAATGAGCTAACGGTCATTAAGAAGATGCTGCCTGACTTGTGTTGTTGCACACAGTGTGTGTGTGTCCATGTACATGTGTTGGCATCTGCATGTTCTTTAACAATGATTTCCTATGCTGGAAACTGACTTATTGTGAACATTTCTAACATATTATTATAAACTGTCACCGTCCCACAGGTGGGACGTTTGCCACTATATTTTTAAAACAATAATATCTTAGTAAATACCTTAAATAATATTGACAAACTATATATCATTTGAAAGCTTACAATCTCTAGTTTCCATATTTGGTGACTGATTTTCAAAATATATTACAGAGGAGCCATAATTTATCAATATGCAACAAGAATATTTTCATACTCATAAGGCGTGTTCAGACCTTTATTTTAAAATAGCAGTAAACATGAAAAATCATGAAAAAATGGTAGATACCTCTGTTTGTTTTCATGCCAAAAGTTCAAAAGATAGAATCCATTCAATTATTTTGCAAAAAAAGGTCTGAAAAGTTTGAAATATCAAGAAAAAAATAATAAATTCACCATTTGTGACGTGGCAGCTAGCTATGACTTACATGCGTGTTCTTTGTATGTGTTTCTTAGAGGTTCAATTCATTTCAAAATCTGCCAAACTTCCCATACTACTTCTGAATAGGATCTCTACTTCAGAAATTGTATGAAAATTGTGAAAATAATTCATATCACTCAAAACAGGAATGGAAATGCAGGCGCCCTTATATGGGCAGTAATGGAGTCTGGTTGTGCCCTAGTGAAAAAGTTTGGTACTGCGCTCAAACAAAATCTTACTGAAAGCTCATTTTTTGAGATATCAATCTAAAATTTGAAACACAACTTGTTCAGATTTTTGGCTTTGATCTTTTTGCCGTTTTAGAGTAGCCCAGGTTTTGAAAATATATATTTTATGTAAAATATGAATAATTAATATTTTTACATTGTACATTTCCATAAACTCAAACTTCTATAACTTTTTTTCTGTTTCACTTTCTTAATTTATTTCACTTCTAAAAATATCTGCCAAATGTCTTCTTTAAAACAAGACCAATCATATGTCTATATTCCAAAGCATTCTTGAATTACAGCCATTTAAGTTCGAAATGTGCATTTTCATGTCTATTCAAAAAAAAAGGGGGGGGGGGGGTGACAGTTAAGAGGTTAAGGATTTGTTTTTGTTTGATTTTAATCGCATGCATTTGTGTGTTTGCATGTACATAATTAATAATTAAATATTCATTGATGTGTGTGCACTGTGCATGTTGGTACTTGAACATATTTGCGCCCACAAATGAGAACTGTTTTTTTTTTTCTTTTTCATTTTATTATTTTTTTTATGCTGGGAAGTTCTTGTGTGTATAAGTTCTCACCCTATTATGAAGGACATTCGTTTTTTAATTGCATGCATTTGTGTATTTGCATGCTCATAATTGAATAATTATAGAGCATATGCATTTGTGTGTGTTTGTGCATGTAGGTACATATTAATTTGCACCCACACATCAGAGCTTTCCCAGAATCCTCTGCTCTCTGCACAAACCCCCAGTGGGAATGAGTTGCTGCCCCCAATCAAACACTTCTGGAAACGATTTACCCTTCACCCGTACAGTGTGTGTACACCGGCCCAATCCATGGATCAATCATTGCCTTCCTGGATACAAGTTTGAGTTTAACTAGATGGTTTTAGGTAGAAACACCTGGAGCATCGGCGCTCGGGGGCTCAAAATGACGTTTTAGGACATGATTGTGCATGTTTTTGTGTGTTTGTTTTTACGTGTTGGTGTGTTTCTCTCCAGGATCTGGGGAGTGAAGACCTGACGAGGGAGAAAATCAGTTTTGTTTGTCAGATTGTTCGAGTGGGCCGAATGGAGCTCAGAGATAACAACACTAAGAAATTAACATCCGGCCTCCGCAGACCCTTCGGTGTGGCAGGTAGTGCCTCGCTTTCTGTTTTCACACATAAAACTCAATGCATGGTGTCCATGAAAAATAATATAGCACCAAATTTGCAAAAATGCACCAAAAATGTACTTTTAAGATGCTTTAATCCAAGGTGATTTTGTTGCTATTGACAAACTCTACTTGTTGAAACACTATTTTTATTTTTTTAGACAATTGCTAATACTGAGTAGCCACAGTTTAACTATACATGCAAATATATTTTGTAATCTGTATTTTTATTTGTCATTTTTAGTGATTACATACAAGTCTTGAACAATTGTATCTGTATGCAATCAACTGGAAAAATATATTGCATATAAGCTTTACTGAATGAAACGCCCAACAACCCGTAGAAAATTGAATGCACCGATCTTTCTGAATTCATGCATTGAAAACAATGGCCTTTCCAAAGTGTTTTGTCTGCCTGTAGATAAATATGGTTTTATTACATGTACAATAAGATTATACAGTTGAAGTCTTGAGCTAAGTGACCATGATATGTGTGTCCACTTATCACCATTACTGATACTTAAGGTTCAACGTCAGTGTCCAGTGCATTACACAGTTTATGAATGACTCCTGATATTGTGTCTTGAGGATAGATGTGATATTACTTTATTAAGCTACTTAGATTTGTGGGTGGTTGTTTAGTGGTACAAGTCAGTAATTGTGGACAATAGGTTCCTCCTAGGTACCTTAGTCTCAGTGGAAAAAAGGAAATCTGATTTTCTGTTGTAAATAAATAAATAAATAAGTCCGAACAGGAGAATGAAAGGAGACATGCAGCCTTTGGTTTCAACATCAAACGGTTTTTGAAGTGGGAAAGCATCTCTCTCTGTCTCTCTCTCCCTGTAGTCTTTATGTGGGCCAGGAAGGAAGAGGCAAAACCTGTGCAATGTCACCTTTAATGCGTCACATTCAGAGACAAGCCAACGCTTCCATTATGGCTCATCAGTTTCCTGTTGCCTGCTGTAAACTCAATCTCAGCTCGGCCACTCCTGCACACGAGGCCAAATGGCCGTTTAGAGGCGATGTTCAGTCAGTAATAGCTGCGGGTTGACAGCGGGTCTAGAAAGTTTTGGCTCCTGTCACCTTATAAACTGCAAATTTAAGCTTCCAGGATTCTTTCTGTTGTGCTTTACTATGTTTTTTAGTGATGGCATGAATCTCACAGATTAATATTGAGGTCCTATTGCACCCTAAATTTAAAAGGGGGAAAAAAACAACAACTTTTTTTTAGAACACGTACAATTTGGGAAATCTTTTTCAGAGAATCTTTTCACATAAAATTCTCATTTCTGCTATGCAATGAATAATCATACAGTTATAAAAATAATTTCTTTAGTTGAATTAATTGGATTCAATGTAGTAGTTATAACCATGATGTAAACCGTATTCACTTTATAGCCCTTTATCCTGTAATTGTGGACAAATGTGGGCACCGGGGATTCGGGTATGATCCTAATTTTTATTTATTATAAATGTTATATCACTGTCTTTGATAAAGTTTTGTCTATCCATTTATTGTGTTTTTTTTTTATTTTGGGGGTATTTTTCAATTTATTTACTTCAAAAAGTACCATATTTTCTATGTTAATTAATTACTATGCAGTTTTATTTAAAAAAATTTTTTTAACTACATTAAAATATAATTCCAATAAGTTCTTAGAGCTAAAACCTAAAGATGAAGTGACTTTGCTGTCACCTGGTGTCTTATTTTGGCTTATTTCAGAATGCTCTAAATTACAGTTTTTCCCATTCATTTCTATGGGTGCCCATTTTTGACCCAAATACAAGATTAAGGAGTTTTTTTTCACCCACTTAACATTGTAGAATTGAGTCAAAAAAAAAAAAAAATACAAAAATGTGTGTGTTCAGGAGGCAAACTTAGGGAAAGTAGACAAGTCTTCTACTGCTCAGATAAAGTGAAGTATTTTTTAAAAATAAATCAAAACTATTTTGCCCACATTTGTCCAGAATATGGTAATGGAAATTTGGTAGAAGTAAAAAAAAATGTTGGATAATAATTTTTGAAAAAGGTGATTTTTATTAAAGCCAGCTTAATAGAATTTTGAAATGAAATTTGCTCGGACAGTCTGTTTAAATGTATAGTTCACCCCAGAATACTTGTTGTCATGTTGTTCAACCCCGTAAAACACAAATTAAGATATTTCTGATGAAATATGAGAGCCGTCTCACTCATTCTCATTCTGCCGGCCCAGAAAGTTATTAAAGACATCGTTAAAATAGTCCGAGTGACTACAGTGGCTCAACCTTAAGTTTATCAAACGACATAGAAGCCTATGGAGGAGTGAGACAGGGCTCAGATTGAAGATGAACGAAAGTCTAACGGGGTTTGAACAACATGAGAGAGTAATTACTGACAGAATTTTTGGGTGAACTAACCCTTTAAAATAAATGGCAAATAATGTTGCAATAGTCAACCTTTAAAAAAAAATCCTAATTTCATTGGGTTTTTTTCTTTTGATTTCGGGATGAAATATGAGAGTTGTTTTCCCAGGCAGATATTATTCTCTTGTCATTCCTATCTCTGCAGTGATGGACGTCACAGACATCATCACGGGCAAGATGGACGACGAGGACAAGCAACACTTCATTCCGTTCCAGCCGTGAGTATGAGTTCATCACAGCACTCTTAATGGAAGTGAACGCAACATCACGACAATTACTGGCCTCAACCTAGAAAAGTGTGTGAAATGCTTTCTAAGGCACTAGGTTCTTAGAAAGGACCAATGAAACCACAGGCACCTACAATAAATAGAAGCTCAAATGACCAATACTTTAAATTTAATAGGTAATATTTTTATATTTAATGGGTTTTTGGGTCATCAAACAAAGAAATAGGGCTAAAGATTTTTCTAGGCGACTATTAGTCACCAATAGTCGACTAATCGCACGTTTATGATATCAATTTAATTATTTAAATCGGAGAATAGATGATTTTCTGGGCTGAGAAAGAATAGCTTATATGTAACATTGCTAACATTTTTCTACATTACTGAGAAATGCCAAACCATAAATAGGCTACCATAATACTGACTGGAAAAATGATGATTATGAATTGGAGAAAAAAACTGGATGCAGACTGTCTGAACATTTTGGATAATTTATTAATAAACTTTCGTATTGGCTGCAAATCTGAAGTCTGCTGTGCCGATTCATCATTTCCGCAGTATATTGGACAGATATATAAAGAAAAATGATTACATTTCATATAGATTACGGAATTGGAGAATATTTGTTTTTGATTTGAATTGGTTAATTTAAAAGTACTCATATTTTTCATGTATGTGAGGCAAGTACACACTGAGTGTATGACCAAAAATGGGAGTATTTGGAGTATTATCAGGAAAAAATGCGAGTGATTTGGACTGGAGTAATAGTGTGTAAGGTAGTTTATGAAGTATTGTATAGTCATACTTTTATTTTGTGGCATAAGGTTAGTTTGAGTGTAAGTGTGTCTGTGTCTGTTTTCCTGATTTCTGCTGTATCGTCTCAATGCTCTGTGTATTTATTCTTTGAAAACACACACTCTTATTCTGTAGGAGAGCCACACGCGCCTCAGATTCTGCCACTAAATAAGACTATACACTTCAGTCTTTCTCTGCTTTGCCACTCTCACAGTCTAGCTGGGTCACACACTCACTAAGAGAGGAATGGATGAGTTTGGTGTGAATTGTGGGATGTTTAAAACGGGAGGTTATGATTTGTAGCAGTTTATTTGTGACTTCAGATTAGCTCCGTTCCAAAATCCAGCGAACTATCTTGTGCAATAATAAGGATAATAACATAATATTATATGTTAACTTGAATTAAAAAATATTATATTATATTTAAAATTAATTCATAAAATTAATTAATTAAAATTAATTATATAATTAATTTAACATGAATTTATAAATAATAATAATATGACTGATGATTATAATAATTTTTTCTTTTTTATATTACAAAGAGAAATATTCATATAATGCACTATTTAAAATTGTCATTATTATGTTGTATTAATTTAAATATAAAAACATTTTTTTTATATATTTGTATTATAATATATATTATATTTATATATTTAATTTATAATCGATATTCATTTAGCTTTTCCACCGTCTTGGATGCATTCTTTTACTATAACTGAGGCATATTAAATGATATCACAACTTTATTGGCTTTTAGTTAGGCAGCCTTTTGGAGCAGAGCTAGTGTGTATTTTTAGACTCGGCTTCATCTGTGTTTGGGTGAGATGGAGGGTCATCTCTTAAATTACAGCATCTCTTTGTGTCTCTCCTGTCACCCATCCTGCATTACTGTTTGCTAACAAAATGGCTTTTGCCCCTGTCATGGTATCGGTATCACTGTTTGGTGTCTTCCCTCTCTCTCTCTCTCTCTCTCCCTTCATCCATCTCTTCTTTTTCTTTTTCTTCTGCTCATGTCCACCCTTATCTGGCTCTCTGTGGCTACTACTCTTCTCCTCTCTTTCTCTTCCTTCTCTCTCTCTCTCTCCGTTGGCGTGTTGCCTGTCGTGTGTGAACTCCAGGCTAGCGTTGGATGACGCCATTCGCCACAGGCAGCTGAACATCTCCCGTTTTTCACCCAGGGTGGCTGGCGAGAACGACTTCCTTCAGACAGTCATCAACAAGGTCATCGCTGCCAAAGAGGTCAATCACAAAGGTCAAGGTAAAGGTCACTGGGCCCAAAGCCTGCACTGGGGTGAACTTTATAAGGCCTTGTGATTTCCATTTAATAATTGTTGCACTTTCATTTGCTTGCATTTTAAAAGATTAAAGTAATAATTTATGCCTTCATATGGGTAGCACCCAAATTTGCATTGAAAAATTAAATAAAACGGGCAAAACAGAATATAAAAAAATAAATAAAACAAAACATATATCATAGGGCTCTATTATTGTAAAAAAAAATGTTTTTTTTTTTTAGTTGAATCAATTTAATTGGTTTTACATGCTTTTTGAGTATTATGTTTTAATTATACCACTAAAACGAAGAATTTCTGATTTTAATAGGGTCCTAAGCATTTATTTTTTGTTAAACTGTTAATTCATTGTATTTAATGTATTTATTTCTACATTAAGTTGTATTTAATACAATTTAAATTATTTATTTATGTATTTAAGTTTTATGCTTTTAATTAGTTGCAATTTTAATGTAACCATTAAATTATTAATAATTTTTAATAATTAAGAACAGAAAAAAAAAATAATGTTTTAGGTCCCTACATTACCCAAGGTTTTCTCGAATGCCGTATCTTAACCTACAGGAACTGGTACACAATGATATCTGTATGGTAAAGGAGTAATCCTGGAATGAAACTAAGCTGGGATGATTATTTGAACTGAAGTTTAATCATGTGGCCTAGTTTAAGTTTGAGAAGTTAAAAATATGGGATTTTAAAAGCTGATCTGTGGAGATTGAGACCATGCTTGTCCCAGATACGATCAAACTATGTTTCAGAGTTTCTGCCAGGAGAGTTTCACAATCTAAAGGCGCCTGAATCATCCAAATGACAAAGTTATTGAGCAGCATTAATTGAAGTTGAATGGGGTTTATCAAGCATGAGAATTTGTTCATGCCAAGGAGAATGGGAACCGAATGTTTTATCTGGACGCCCTGATGTCGGATAACATCACAATCCATCACCACAAATACAATCCATCCTTCCTGTGATTCATCAGAGACTAGCACGATACATACATTTATTTATTTATTTTACATATGATATGTATACTAGATTTATATTGCAGATCTTGAGGATGAAATATGCTTAATTGTCAATAAAGTAATGTCAGTGCAAAAACATGTTTATGGTCATAACAAAATATAATTGTAGTTTTTTTTTCCTTTTGAATTTGAGGTGAAGTATGACCTAACTTTTTTTCTTTGTTGGGTTTTATAAGTACACACACACACATAACAGCTCACATTATTTGCTCAGATTGCTCCCTTTAGTCTTTAATGTTGTAGTATAAAATATTCAAAGAACAATCTCAAAATCTCTGCACCTACACATTAAATAACAGTCGCTCTGCCTCCTGCAGGGTGTTTTCTCAGCCATTAAACTAATCCGGTGCTCTTAATTATTTTTTGTAGATCATTAATGAGATTTTATATTAAGTTCCCGTGAGCAGTTAAGCACAAATAGCAAGTGTTTTTGTGCGTCAGTCCTGGAGACTGTGTGTGTGTGTGAGAGAGTGTGTACGTGTGCATTTAATTCCACTCTTCCTTTGGTCCTCAGGATTGTGGGTTACACTGAAGTTGCTTCCAGGTGATATTCATCAGATCCGTAAAGATTTCCCTCACCTGGTGGACCGTTCCACCGCCGTCGCTCGCAAAATGGGCTTCCCAGAAATCATCATGCCAGGTATCCAACATCAAACTGTAGTTTCTGTGAATATATTGCCATTACATCATGGAAAACAGTTTTGAATGAGAGAAAACACTAGATTGACAATGAGAAGTCCAACCAGACCATTCATGAAAACTAAGCTGTTGTTGAGACTCATGGATGGGAATAGTCAAGAAAACCTAATTTGGTTTACTTTTTGCTTGTATAATAAAATTATTATTAAAAATAAGTTCTCGAATAAAATAAGTTCTTGAGTAAGCAACAACCCACACCTTTGAATGTTAGCTACTTTTGTGCGTTTTCCTACAAAAGTCTAAGATCTGTATTCGAAACGGTGTGTTTTTAGCTCTAGATCATATATTGATTCTGTTAATGATTGCAAATGTTTTTGCAGGTGATGTTCGTAATGACATCTACGTGACGCTGGTTCAGGGGGATTTTGATAAAGGCAGTAAGACGACGCCCAAGAACGTGGAGGTCACCATGTCCGTACACGACGAAGATGGAAAGAAACTCGAGGTAATGTGTGTGAGACGAGCATTCTAATGAATAAACCAAATTCAGTTTTACTGAAGCTCAGTCGATAGCATTTTGAGGGATAATGTTGATTATTGTCGAAAATAATTTAGACTTAATTTTAATGAAAATAAAAAAATAATGAATACATAATATAATAAAAGGCAGATAAACATGATACAATAGGCTAAATGCACACTCTTCTGCATTCAAAGTCAGCTAGGTCACATCCGGCGCACGTAGCGTCAATAGCAACCATGGCGTTTTTCACTCGGTCGCTTCAAGATGTCCCTAGGGTTACAGTCAACGACGCAAGTCGAATTATCCAAACACTGGGTCATACATAGTCAACCAAGAAGGAAAAGGGCTTCAAACTATACGTTTCAAGCTACATCCTCCTTTTTTAAATGCCGGTGTTCTGTCCATTTTTGCTGCCTTGTCGAAAAATGCTACCGTAGCGCGAATTGATCACAGAATGCCGATTAAAGTCGTATGAAATAAAATTATAATACAATTCTAAGTTATGAGTAGCTACTGTATACTGTAGACTACTGTTTTTATTTTTAAAACGGTGTGAAAAGTAAAAATTATCATAAAATATTCATCTTTGACCTTTCCTCATAGTAACTGAAACTTTCAGTTATTCTTTTTCAGCTGGCTGACCGTACAAATATTCATATGGTACACTGTATAAAATATTTTCAAGATTTGTTATCACAACATATTTTCTTTTGTCAAATCAACTTTTATAATAATTTATTTAGTTGAGATAACTTATAATTTTGAGTTTCTGATGGTTAAATTAATCTACTTTATTGTATTAACTCACTTTTCCCAGTTCAATCAACTTAAAATTTTAAGGCAACCCAGGTTACTGACTTTTTTTAAGTTATTCCAACAAAAAATTTTTACAGTGTAGTAATCACAACATTTTTTCTTTTGTCAAATCAACTTAAATAATTTATTTAGTTCAGATAACATATAATTTTGAGTTTCTGATGGTTAAATTAATCTCCTTCATTGTATTAACTCACTTTTTCCAGTTCAATGAACTTAAAATTTTAAGGCAACCAGGTTACTTACTTTTTTAAGTTAAACCATCAACATTTTTTTACAGTGTAGTAAGCATTTTTTAAAGGGAAATTATACATAAAATTATATAAATTATAATTATGTAAATACACATAAAAAGCTTAACCGGTAAGTAGCAAATCTCGATGGGTAGCATGAATCGTCAGAACACCGGCTACATACTCGGGTATGGGGACTAACTGTGAAGTTACTCGAGGTTTGACACAGCGACAGCTGTACTGCTGTTGGTTGGCTGAAATGTAAACGTTTTCTTACTAGACATATCATTATCACTTGGTATACAATCACATCAGCGAAATTGGCTTAGCGGGCTGAAGTACGTTATCCCCTCCGTGTGCATTAAGGCTATTGCTGAATAACCTTGTCTATGTAAAGCATAGTTGCATATCAAGTAGTTGCACTAGAAAGGGAAAATTTAGACATTTTTATGCACTATCTATATGGACTTGTAAAACTGAGCGACATACAGTACAACTACACTGTAAAAAATATTTTCCAGATTTGTTATCACAACATATTTTCTTTTGTCAAATCAACTTAATAATAATTTATTTAGTTGAGATAACTTATTATTTGGAGTTTCTGATGATTAAATTAATCTCCATCATAGTATTAACTCACTTTTTCCAGTTCAATCAACTTAAAATTTTAAGGCAACCAGGTTACTTATTTTTTTAAGTTAAAACCAACAATATTTTTTTACAGTGTAGTTATCACAACATTTTTTTCTTTTGTCAAATCAACTTAAATAATTTATTTAGTTCAGATAACATATAATTTTGAGTTTCTAATGATTAAATTAATCTCCTTCATTGTATTAACACACTTTTTCCAGTTCAATGAACTTAAAATGTTAAGGCAACCAGGTTACTTACTTTTTTAAGTTAAACCATCAATAATTTTTTTACAGTGTACATGATATTATAAAAATGTAGAATATATTTTAAGCTCTTTAAAAGCAATCCAAGAGGAAATATATAAATGCTAAAAAGTAAAGGCCCTAAAATTGAGCCCTGGGGCACACCAGAGCCAATCTTAGACCTGGAACCACTCATAAAAACAAACTGGTGGTCATCAGAGAGAAAATATCTAATCCAGGTTAAAATGGGGTCTGAGGCCCGGTTTTCCCATGGTGTTTTGGTCGATCGGTCACAAGTGGACAATGCTAAATACAGGCGTAAACGGGGTGTGAAACGTTTTGAACTTATTACAGGTAGTCGAAAACGCGTTTGACCGGATTGTTTTCCTAGTGTAAGCGTTCATTTGGCCGAATGCGTCTTCTCTCCGCATACTGAACTCATGTGTAAACATTTCGGGAACTTCTGGAAGCCTGATGGGATTTAAACGTTGTCTGCTGAAGACCCAGGTTTGGTTTTGAAGATTAAAAAACGCACCTTGTTTGTGCTTTTTTACTGCCCACCTAATATTTCTTGCTCACAAACAGTCAGTCCCTCTCGCCCAGTCCCTGCGCCTGTTGAGCGGCTGGTCACTTATTGCTCATAATTGGTGCCTGTCAGCTATAGCATGTGTGTGTTTGTCAGGCTTTGACAGGCCAGGTGTGTGTTAATGTGTATGTGTAGGTGAATGCTTGACCCTGACTGTGTGCAATGGTAAGAAATAAAAATAAAGCAAGCAGTTTTTGCTCCTTAGACCATATGGGCTCCTTATGTTTTCCAGTCGGTAGAATAAAACCTTGTTCTTTAATATTTCATATCTCAGATCTGTCGCTTCTGATCTTCTGAATTTGGCAGGGAGTCGGATTGCATTTAGATTCTGTCCAACAATTAGTTTTTTATTGGCTGGTGTAAATGCACAAGGACGAAGTGATCAATGCAATGGCCGTTGGTTCCTCCTCTTTTTAAAAAGCTGTTTCTAAGAAAACAAGAAATGTAATCACAAATACACTCTACATTTGGTGTTGTCTTTGCCATCTAGAACGTGATCTTCCCTGGTGCAGGAGATGAAGGCATTCTGGAGTATAAATCAGTCATCTACTACCAGGTCAAACAGCCACGCTGGTTTGAAACCTTCAAGGTGAGCGTCACTTATACCGTCACATCTGATGTGTACTAAAATAAGATTGATTCATTTGACTCGCCCAAGTGTCAAAATACAAATGTATTCAAGCGTGCAATTTAGAATCCATGTTGGGATTTTCACTATCTTTAGTGGAGGTTAATAAATGCACAAAATGCCATACATTAACATTTCATAATTGGACCTCAAAGGGGGATAAAAATTCATGATTTGACCCTTTTAAATGTTTAAAATCTCATAAATAGACGTTGAACAATAAAGATTAAAGTTCAACGTAAAGGTCATAGTAACTGCCCCCTGCTTATGTGTCTGTTTTAATCCACATTTATGTCTCTTAACTTATTAATATTCAAGCCTTTTAAGGTTTCCCCCCTGCCCAAGTCTTATGCATGTGTGAGATCCATCTTTCTTTGTTGCAGGTTGCGATCCCGATTGAAGATGTCAACAGGAGTCACCTGCGGTTCACGTTCAAACACAGATCGTCTCAGGACTGTAAGTTCACAGCGTGTGCTTTCAGAGCGGTTTAACCAGCGTATGGCTTACCTGCTGCTCTAGTAAAGTTGAAGTGTGGTTGAGGTCACAGCATGTGCTTGTCAGCAGCACGTTCCACTGGTGGTGTCATGGTTCAGACCTCTTTAAATGTTCTCGAGCATACTTTTTCTTTCTCAGTGGGTTTTTAAAATAACTTTTGACTATGACGGAGGCATTTGCATCTGAATGAGTTTGCTATTATTGTGTAGGCTGTTAGGTGTACATTTGTAGTGCTAGGTTTAGTTATTTGAACACCAGAATACAGTTTTAGACTGATGCACAGCTCATCTCTTACCATTCGTTCAACAGACATGGAATTATACCTCGAATCATCCTAGCAACCTCTCAGAATTCAACTCACTAAAAACATTTAAAAATCTTAAATTTAATTTTTTTTGCTAGTTTTTTTATTTTATTTTATTTTTAAATTAATTTTATTATTTTAATTGTATTTCATTTCATTTTTTTAATGAATGTTACTGATTATTTTACGTATCTGAAAACTGGAAACTTTGTTTTAATTTGTGAACAACTAGCAATTAGAAATAAAATGTTGTTATTATATATTATCTATTTTGATACGTTTTTATTATATATATATATATATATATATATATATATATATATATATATATAATATGTATATGTATTTATAATATATATATATATATATATATATATATATATATATATATATATATATATATATATATATATATATATAATATATATAAATATATTTATATAATATAATTAATTTGAAATTTTATTTAATTTGTTTCATTTTTAATTTTATTTATTTATTTATTTTTAATGACCGTTACTAATTATTTTAAGTATCTGAAAACTGCCTTTTTTTGTTTTAAATTGCTAAAGAACTAAAGACTAAAAATAAACAATAAATAATAAAAATAATAAAATAAAATAATTGATTTAAAGTGCAGCTATGCAGTCTATCAATTGGTCTACCAATTAATCTATAAATAATTTATACTGTCAATACAGTATGTACACTCATACAAGGCTTATTTGATGTGTGTGTTCATTTTTGTTTTGGGTTTTGCTTAACTTTTTAGTGGTAAATATTGGGAAAAAAAACCTTAGTAAGAGCATACCAGAGCCCAAGCAACCACCCAGAATTCCCTACCAACCACATAGTACACTATATTTTGAATACTTTATTAACCACATGAAATGTAATGGCAACCACCCAGAACACCCAAGTGTTGTCGAGTTTAGCACGGGAAAATGCCTCTCATAATTTCTTCAGAAGATGCAAAAAACTGGTTTATTGTGCAGTTGTTTTCTAGCCTGTTTGTTTGTGTGTTTTGCTGAGAGGGGTGAATCATATTGGCAGTGAGTACGAGCATGTTTGAGAATCCTGGAAGGTTGTTTATGGGCCAAGAGGCGTCTGGCGTACGGCTGCGGTCATCACACTTAGCTGTGTGTGTTCAACCTTACCCTGGCAGCCGCGTCTCTCCATCTGCCCACCACATGTTGCCACGGCAGCGCCAGGATGAGAGGGGTGGGGTTTGTTGCCAGGCACTGGTTGCCAGGCGCTGGGCAAGGATGTAAAACTAATCATTTAGCACAAATAAACGTCTCGCCAGCTGATCTGATAATAAACACTATGACAGAAAGAGGGTCTCAGAGTTTCACACATCGACTGCTGATCTCAGCACAGTTGTTGTCTAGAAGTGCTGAAATGTCATTTTTTTTTTAAAAAGTTGTCATTCTGAGTATTATTTTTATGGCAGGTCTGGACTGAGTTTGTGCAACTAATAAGCATTTACTGTTCAAAAAGCCAAGTTCTCTTCTTTTTTACAGTAAAGCCATGATGTTACAATTAAATTTAATCAAATAAATGCTGTTCTTTTAAACTTTTTATTTTATTATGAAAGAATCCTGAAACAAAATCCACAAAAATATGAAGCAGCAGAACTGTTTTCAATATTGATGATTATCATGTTTCTTGAGCAAAGCAAAACATTAAAATTGATATCCACTTCAGATGATTCACTTCATTCATATTAAACGAGTAGTTCACTTTAAAAAAAACAAAAAAAAAACAACTTTTGCTGATAATTCACGTCATCCAAGATGTCCATGTCTTTCTTTCTTCAGTCGAAAAGAAATTAAGGTTTTTGATGAAAACATTCCAGGATTTTTCTCCATATAATGGACTTCAATGGGAACCAAACGGTTCAAGGTCCAAATTAGAGTTTCAGTGCAGCTTCAAAGGGCTTTAAACGACACCAGACGATGAAGGGTTTTATCAAGCGAAACAATCAGTCATTTAAAAAATAAATACTCGTTCATCAAAATTAACGAATCTTGATTCATTCAACCAACGAAATGAATGAAATGACTCGAAAAAAGATTCGTTCATTTTGATGAACGAGTTCGAACAGAAGAGTCACGAACGTGCATCACAGAACAGAGCAAGGCGAGCATTTGTGCTTATAAAACTTAAACTTTTGTATTTATTTTTTAAATGAGCAATCGTTTCGTTAGATAAGACCCTTATTCATCGTCTGGTGTCGTTTAAAGCCCTTTGAACAGTTTACAGTGAAACTCTCATTTGGACCTTGAACCGTTTGGTTCCCATTGAAGTCCATTATATGGAGAAAATCCTGGAATGTTTTCATCAAAAACCTTAATTGCTTTTCGATTGAACAAAGAAAGACATGGACAAATTGGATGACATGGGGGTGAGCAAATTATCAGCAAAAGTTTTTTTTAAAAGTGAACTACTCCTTTAAGATCAGTCCAATTTAAAGAAGAATCCATGGTCAGTTGTTTGGAAATATTGACATTTCCCTTCAGTTTAGTTTATAGGGTTTTCTGTGATCATCTGAGCTTTTAAACACTGGCATTAAACTCAGCTTTCTCAAACAGATTGATGCTGACAGGCAGTCAAATGTCAGGGAGAATCAGTTGTCGGGATCTTCATCTCATGTCTGCCTGTCAGTTTCTTTATTTCTGATTGAATTTTGAATGTAAAAACATGAAAAATCTCATCTCCTCCTGGTTGATTCGGTCCGTTTCTGTGAGAGGTGTAGGGACCTGGTTCCCTCAATCCTTCTGTCCTGGTGCTGCAGTGATGATGATGGTGATGATCTCTCTCAGCAGGTTCTGTGTTGGCTCTGATGCCGACGATTTTGAGTTAGGAGATTCAAGTGTTTGTGTGATTTTTCTCAGGATGATGTTTGCATTTCCACTTTGGGATGAAGTACGGGATGTTTCTTTTCTGTTAGAGAGCAGAGACACTGCTGGGTCTCTTGATGAAGCACATAGGCCCTCAGAGGAGTCTGAATGAATTATGCTAGAGATATCGGATTCTGTTTGATACGGTTGTCGATGTTATGAAAAGAGTAAAACTTTAAGGAATAGGTTCAGTTTAGATTAAGTTGCAGGTAGGGTTGGGCAACAATTAAACGCGATTAATCGCATCCAAAATAAAAGTTTGTTTTTACATTATATATGTGTGTGTAGTGTATATAATTAATTTGTGTATATATAAATACTAACACATGCATGTATATATTTAAGAAAAATGTGTTATTAATATATTTATATTTTTATATATAATATTAATTGTGAATACATATATATAAATTATATACATGCACATATTTCTTAAATATATACATGCATGTGTGGGTATTTATATATATATATATATATATATATATATATATATGTATTTATATTTATATCGTTTGAATTGTATCAATTCAGATTCTTATGATTCCTAATTTTGATTCGAATAAGGTAAAATAAAAAAATAAAAACTTTCATTATCATTCACATTTATTATTTATTAAGTCTTATTGCAAAACTTTTAATTGTAGCTGAATACCATGAACAAAAGGTTTACAAATACCGTAGCAAAAACAACTAGCGCGACTAATATACATTCAAACATTATTAAAGTACTTTGTAAAGTATTAAGTTAAACCCTCAGTAAAAAAAATAGCAATAAATAACTTACACTTTATAAATAAAATATACATTACTAATGTAGTTACAAAAGTGATACAGTCAAGAACAGCGAGTTAATTTTCTCGTGGTCTTTTGTTGTTCACTCTCAGAAAAAAAGGTACAAAAGCTATCACTGGGGCGGTACCTTTTCAAAAGGTACAGCCCCAGTGATAGCTTTTGTACCTTTTTTTTCTGAGAGTGTTTGATTAACGTTATTATAGAGATGGCGGCAGGAATATTAGGCTGCTGTCACTTTAAGAGCTGCATGGATCAAAAATATTGTTGAACATACATCTTCTTTGTCAACTGTTTACATCCACCTAAGTCCGACTGTGCAATGTTGTTTCTCTGCAGGCAAGGATAAATCTGAAAAGAACTTTGCTCTGTCGTTTGTTAAGCTGATGAGGTATGACGGCACGACGCTGAGGGACGGAGAACACGATCTCATCGTCTATAAGGTGAAACCAACACAATGGGATCTCAAAACACACACACACACATGCAAGCATGCATACAGAGATGTGAGTTGTGTACTGATGCTGCCTGTCCTCGATTGTCTAACCTTTGATCCCACATCACAATGTAATCATTATGCAATTAAACTTTGTTCATGTATTCAATCTATTCATATTAAATAGCTTCACTAATGCAGAATGTCGCCTGGTCGAATCCTTTTTTGAGTTATGAAAATGAACCGTCATACAAATCATAGCTTTACCAGTGATGTGAAATCGGTTTTGAATGCTTGTGCAAATGTCTTTGAAAAAGTCAAATCAAATGGATTAAAAAAAACAGTAACTTTAGTGCAGTGTCCAATTCTTACTATAAACTAGTATCATATTAGCATGCATATTACTAGAATATTGGCTGAATATTAGTACTTTAAATCACATTATTCTGCATGGCCATATTCTACATCTCTTAATCCATCCAATAACTAAACTTAAAGGGTTAGTTCACCCAAAAATGAAAATTCTGTCAGTATTTACTCACCCTCATGTTGTTCCAAACCTCTATGTGTTTATTTGTTCTGCTGAACACAAAGGAAGATATTTGGAAGAATGTTTTTAATCAAACAGATCTCATTCCCCATTGACTACCATAGTAGGAAAAAATACATATGGTAGTCAATAGGGAATGAGATCTGTTTGATTAAAACATTCTTCCAAATATCTTCCTTTGTGTTCAGCAGAACAAATAAACACATAGAGGTTTGGAACAACATGAGGGCGAGTAAAAACTGACAGAATTTTCATTTTTGGGCGAACTAACCCTTTAACAACTACCTTAGGAGTTTAAGGCAAGGTAGTTAATTGTGAGAATTGGACCCTAATCTATAGTGTGACCAAACGTTTACTGACTGACAGCTGTCAATCATTGAATGCATTCTTTAGTCTTCTGCAAAAGAGGTGTTGTACTCATGACGGCGTTTCTCTATTTGTAGGCAGAAGCCAAGAAATTGGAGGACTCCACCATGTACCTGAGCTTGGCCTCCACCAAACCAGAGATGGAGGAAAGAAACCCCTCGTCAGGGAAGAACACGCAGAATCTGGGCAGCTTCACCATCAGCAAAGACTCCTTTCAGATCTCAACGCTGGTGTGCTCCACCAAACTCACACAGAACGGTGAGACGCATCATTTCCCGACCCATTCTCCCCATCATTTCCTCTCATTTCTCTACTCTTCTATCAGTGAAAGCACACATAGAATAACTAGTGCTGACAAGTCAGTGTTTGCAACCATTTTACTGCAGTCTTGTCACATATTTCGGACTAAAACAGCATTTTGAAAGTTTATGATGTGTACAGGAACCAGTTTTCACAATTGAATTAATTCTTTCATTAAGTCCATCACAGGCAGGGATGGGAATAACGGCGTTATAAAAAAATGGTGTTACTAATGGCGCTATCTTTTTCAGTAACGAGTAATCAAATGAATTACTGTTTCCCCCGTTTCAACGCCGTTACCGTTAATGACAATAAAATGCAGCTTTACTATAGCCTAATTGAAGCGGTTTCCATCCGAGTAAGCTCTCTCTCCGCCATAGGAACCGCAAAGTTTTTTCTCTGGTGTGTGTGTGTGTGTATATGTGTGTGTGTGTGTGTGTTTATGAGGCACCTGACTGGACTAAAGTGAAGCAAACACCTCGACAATGTACCATAGTGTGTGTCCGAGAGCGCGCGAGTGTGTCCGAGCATTATATAGTTTGTTTATAAATAAATGACAAATTTCAGCTTTAGAATAATCTCTGTAGCCGTATCATCTGCAACGTTTTATTTAATTTACATGGTTATACAAATAAAATCTAAAAAATAACCAGCAGGGAACGTTCTGGGAATTCAGGTTCTGGGAGCACTTCTTGTTAAACTGTTTATCATTTTAATTTTCACTACAAAGAGTGTGTGTATGTATGTATATTTTTGTATTATTATTTATTCATTTTTGGTACATTTAAGCATAATTTATTTTTAGACTTATTTGTTGGCCAGTTGTGGTCTGTGCAATATGAAATATTGAAAGTTCTAAACCTAAAATGATGTTTTATTGTTCTACTATAGTAATATTAATATTTAATATAATATATTGAATTTTATAGGTGTAATTTATTCTATAATAATAATTAATTCTACAGTGTCCATTTCATTAATTTAACATATTTAATATTGGGTGCATCCAAGTTATTTTTCAAGTTATTTGAAGTGACGCTATAGTTACTTTCCCTGGTAATTAGTTACTTTTATAATGATTTAATTCAGTTACTAACTCACTTACTAGTAGAAGTAACTAGTAACTATAACTAATTATTTTTTTTAAGTGACATGCCCAACACTGATCACAGATAGTTGAAAATAAGTGCTTGCTAATGTCAACCAGTGTTATTTTTGTATCATTGAGATACTATTACAGTCTGTATATATATATATATATATATATATATATATATATATATATATGAAGAGTTCAGATGCAAAAGCCTCTAAGTGCCATTTGAAATTTTCTTCTAGAATGATCATTTTTATCAAGCTTGTATATTTAAGTTCGGTGATTTCACTTAAATGGCAATGACAATTACCTAATTGTTATTTAAGTGAAATTACTGAACTTAAATATACAAGTTTGATAAAAATCATCAATAAAGAAGAAAATTTCAAATGGCATTTAGAGGCTTTTGCATCTGAACTCTTCATATATATATATATGGGGGTGGCTATAATATCTCAGATGTTACCTGAAGTGTGAAGTACATTTTTATAAAGATTTCAAAAACCACATTTTCATTTAGAATCACACGGAATGATCAGAAATGTAAAGAGGGTGAGTTTGGATTTCATGTTGACATCTGTACGCTTTGTGATTTGAAGACGAGCTGTGAGGAATTGCAGATGCGGTAAGATTATTACAGTCGGATCACATACAGGATGCAGTAAAGTCCACTGCAGTCCTGACGCAAGCGCTCATTCACTCCCTCCTCTCCTCTTTAAGCTCGTGTTTGTTGCTCTATGAATCTTACAGAAACTGCATACCCATCAGCCTTTGGTCATGGTGTAGCGGCAGGCATGTGGACGGGTTCATGACTGCGGTAGTAAATCTGATGAGCAAGTTTAAAATACTGCAGGAACTTAAAATCAGAGATCGATGTCGCCGGAGGAGCATACGGTCGTCCAAGTGTAGGCCAATGAAAATAAATGATACAGTATAAAAGAAAGAAATGAGTCCAGTGTTTCTTTCATCGATTATTCTACAGTGCCATAGTAACCCGTTATATTGCATCCGAGTTGTGCGTTTGCAGTCTAAATTGATAGTGATAAACCAGGTTAACGCAATAAAATGCGAAGACGATAAATAGATTTTTGAATGTAGTTGTCTTCTAGTTGCAAATTATTCATTTGAGCAGTTTGAGCAGCAGAATCAGTCTGATGAATATCCTGAGCGGTTTTTTGTATTTTTTAAAGCGTCCCTGATTCAACGTTTCCATAAGTTTGGGGTGGGGCTACATGTTTATCCAAACAGTGGTAGACAGTAGACAGAATGCCGATTCATTTAGTGACGCTAGACACTATTATTGTGACATTTTCAAGTCAAAATGTATCATTTTTTATAGAAATCTTTTGTAACATTATAAATGTCACTTTTGATCAATTGAATGCATCCTTGCTAAATAAAAGTATTTATTTATTTCAAATCATACTGACCCAATTTGGAACAATTTATGGAAGGTTTCATAGAAAGTTTATTCAAGTTCATTTTTTTGAGCATGTTTGAATGAAGGATAGACATGTTGTAAAGGACTCTTGATTCAGATACACGCGTCCGCTGAGTGATTCAGGGTCAAACGCGGCCCGAATGCAGAGCAGCCAAGCGGTAGTGTGCCACCATTAAGATTGAGATGCGTGAAGTCACATCAGAGAGCATGCTGGGCCTGCGACGGCAAAGATGAAGACAAAATATACGTGCGAGGGTGAGATGGAGTGAAGTCGGCATCAGAAATAGCCTCGGTTAGTGTATGTGCTTCAGACCAGAGCAGGTATGAGGGGGGGAAACGAGTGGGGGAACGTGCAGCGTTTATTGTGAAAGATGTCCTGACTTTTAGAATAAATGCTTGAGTAAATGTGAAATTCTAGATGTGAACTCTTTATGGCGTGTTTAAGATGGTAATGCACATTCTTGGGTGGACCGACGTCCCTGTTTTTCTGTTTTCAGTGTCCTGTCCTCGACTGGAGACGTCCCCATTTTACGGCTCATTCACAATAAAAGCTAGTAGAAATGAGATCCTATTATAGTTCTTAATATTTTTAATAATTTTGTATTTATTTATTTAAGTTTAAGTAATTCTGTTGTGTTTTTGTCTATTTTATTGACTGTTTATTCTTTTTCTAAGACAGACACACACACAGAATGCAAAATAATGGAGATTAAAGATCATTTTCTAAAAGCACAAACATAAAATTACATTTGAAAAAATTTAAATGAAAATATTAAATTGGAGATATTTGTTAATGAGTTTCATTATTCATATGTTTATTGGTTTTATTTAAAAGGATCCCCATTAGCTGACGTCGAGACAACAGGTAGTCTTCCTAGGATCCAAACAATACATCAAAAGGCAATAATTACAATCACAATTACTCCCAAATATATCATATATGATATACACATATAAATAATAAAAAGTAACAATACAAAAAGTACTAATTAAGGTAAAAATAATATGAGAAATATGTATGTCATATTTATTTTGTGAAATCATAATTTAGCTTTTTGCAATTTACTATTTTTAATAGTGTGAATTTTGGTGAATTGTATAAAAAACAGTTAAAGGTAGTTTGACCCACGTGCATAATAGAATGAATAATAATAATATGGAACCAACAACAATAAAAAAAAAAAAAAAAATGGAAAGCATACGAAAATATAGTGTCCTTTTTAATTTTATATATAATTACAAGCCAGAAAATCCAGGAAATGCTTCCCATTCTTTCTCTTTTCCTGTCAATGTTAAGTAGCGAGAAATAAGTGCACTAAACAGTTGCTGATCTTTGATGTAAATCAGCTTGTGCTTCTGAGACACTTAAAAGCGGAGCTAGCAAACACTTGACTGGCGTCAGAATGCCAAGATGTTTTCTGCTCTAATTTCAAAGCTCCCCTGCTACACGAAGACACCAGCAGCAAGAAGCATTGATATGCCTCACGCTATGCACTGTGCAATCTGAAAGCTTTATAGGCCATCTTTATCCCCGCCGGACAACCAAATAATTCCTCTCACATAGCGCTATGAGGCAGTCCGTGCTTGCGAATTGATTACAGAGGTGCTAATGACTTGCGTGACTATTAGCGTGCGGTTTTACGCGACCCTTGAGCCACGGGGCAAGTTTAGACGGAGCTTTAATGAAGACCTTTGTCAAACATCTCAGTTCGGCAGGTAGCAGATGAGGTAATGAGGTCGCTAAGGATTCGTCAGATGGAAGACATTAGCATATAAACACAGGTTGTGATTGTTGTAGGCCGCAGAAGCCCTTTCCCCCCTGTGAGGCCTTGTCCATCAATGTTTTCTTTTACATCTGAAAAAATAAAATAGCTTGGCTCTTAATATCATGTTGAGCCACAGAATCCCCCACTATTTCTGCTTTCTGCATCATCGCAGGTAGAAATCAATTGGAAATGCTGGGAAACGTGCGTTTTATGGTGTCTGTTTGACTTCATTTTTTTGTGAAGTAAACTTTCTTTGAAGAGCATTCTGAACACTGAAACCTTTCTCCACCAATAAGAGCGAGGGATGAGTCTCTTTCAAGTAATGGCAGCACCGCTCACTTTTCCAATGGCCTGACAGCTCTTTCTGTCTCTGATTCTTATTAAACCCACATGCTGGGGTTGTAAATGTTGGGATCTTTAACTCTCTGAAACGTCTCTCCCACACAGCCACACTTCCTGCTGATATGATATGATGATATGAAATCTCAGTCTCTGCTGTTCCTCTGCTCACATCCTCCTCTTCATTTTTATCATGCAGCACACTGAACTTTATTCTGATTGGACAATTGTGGCATTCTGTGGCAGAATATATTTGTTTAATTAATTCTTAAGCAGTTTCATAGGATAATGATCAATTGTGTATGCTGATTACCTGTTAGGCTATATGATGTTATAACGACTGTACATTGAAACATCGTGGCCAAAACAATGTAAAATGATACATTTGATTTGTTTTTAAATTACATTTTATACATTTAATAAAACGATGGGAAAAAAAACACCACTCTACAGTAATTTCAAAGTGATTGCAGTACCAGTTTTGGCCACAATCTTGCATACGGCTCCTTTAATAAAGAAGTTCTATATAAATGATTACATTATTTGTAATTGTATTTATAATAATAGTGATAAGAAACATCATTTAGATGGTTTGTGTCAATCTTTCTCTATGACGGCCCTTCAAAACAGAATCCCTTGTCTCGTACATTTAATAAAACGATGGAAAAAAAAACAGTAATTTGAAAGTGATTGCAGTACCAGTTTTGGCCACAATCTTGCATACGGCTAGCCTAGAAATCTAGACGCACCCTAGTGGCAGCAAAAATTATTTTGCAGCAAAGTGTGGTCTAGCAACTCTCCGTAGACTTTCGAAGTGGAAAAACCAAACTCTGATCCGGCCAATCACATCGTGTATAGAGTTGGTGGGTGGGCTTAACACAATGACGGCAGAGTTGTGACGGTTCTGCGCCGTGATTTTCATAGGTAATTTCCCTGCTACTTGAAAACAAACAAGATGCTGCTGGCGAACAGCGGTCTTTCGAATCGGCTTTCGCCGCGACTCGGATGACTTGGAGTTAAGAGAACGTCACTTAAGTCATTCTTAAAAAAAGGAAGATGTGTTCAGAGTTTTGACGACCGGATATGGCAAAAGTTTAATATATCAACTTGTTCTGCTGGAGGGAAAACGCATGGGACTCACTCAGCCACAGCCATTCATTGCTCCGTTATTGAAAGACAACCTTTTATCCCGCCCCCCGGATTGAGGTATGCCAATTGTGAGTTCCCAGACCTAACATCTTGATAGGTCTGGCTTGCCAGGCTAGCATACGGCTCCTTTAATAAAGAAGTTCTATATAAATGATTACATTTGTAATTGTATTTATAAATAATATAATAATAATAATAGTGATAAGAAACATCATTTTGATGGTTTGTGTCAATCTTTCTCTATGACGGCCCTTCAAAACAGAATCCCTTGTCTCGTCACGTTACGTCATTTCAGGTCACAGCACTTGTTTTCCAATGCTTGCTGGAATGCCTCATTTCAGGTTAAAAAGTCAGTCACTTCTGTTGCCATGACGATCACTATGGGAGCTGCTCAATCGTTGTTGAGAGTTCCCAAGGGAACCATATGAACTGCAACTCTCCATATCTCATACAGGTTCCAAGTGGCACAATCCACATGAGTCTATCCCAGTGCGTCATCGCTTTAACAGCTTATTCCTGTGTGATTCAACCAATAAAGGAAGGCAAATTAAGAATAATTTAAAGAGCATTTGTCATTTAAAGGTCATTCCCTCTGACTCTGATTGATAAAATGCTTTATAGGTTCATATTTGCCAGATTTCCATTTTCTCCTATCATTTTGCAACCACAAACTTTAACCGTGGTAGAATCAGTTTTACCTAAAGCCTGTCATGGCTTATGGCTTCATCAGCCAGGCTGAGAGCTCATGAGATTCATGTCTGTTTGGGCTAATGAACTATGCACTAATGAATGTTTAATGTCCAGGTTAGAGAGGAGAGTGTGCTAATGCTGTTTTTCTTTGGTCTCCTGTAGTTGATCTCCTGGGCCTTCTGAAGTGGAGGTCCAACACCAGTTTACTACAGCAAAACCTGCGTCACCTGATGAAAGTGGAAGGAGGGGAGGTCGTAAAGGTGTGTATAAAGTCTCTGACTGAAAGAAGAAACTCACTGCTTTCATACATTGATGCAGAAATGTGTGCTGCTGATGTAAAATGCTACTAATGTAAAACGTTTGAAGTTGGTGTGGAGACTTGCGCTTTGATTTGTGATATGAAATTATGAATGAACTCTCTGCTGTACTTCAAAAGCTTTTTTGCTTATTAGTTTTAAGTTGTTTTTTTTTTTTTTTTTTTTTTTTTTTGTAAGGCAACCAGCAAAAAATGCTGAGATATTTATAGAAATTGCATTTCCGAAAGTGTTTTCAGTATGGTGTGTGCTCGGATCTGTGAAATTATCGAAATGCTGCATATGATTGGCACATGTTATATGGATGGCTCACTCAAGTCAGTCTCACTCAAGTCAGACTCACTCAGGTCGGGCTCACTCAGGTCAGTCTCACTCAAGTCGGGCTCACTCAGGTCAGACTCTCTCAGGTCAGACTCACTCAGGTCAGTCTCACTCAAGTCAGTCTCACTCAGGTCAGACTCTCTCAGGTCAGTCTCACTCAAGTCAGGCTCACTCAAGTCAGACTCACTCAGGTCGGGCTCACTCAGGTCAGTCTCACTCAGGTCAGTCTCACTCAAGTCGGGCTCACTCAGGTCAGTCTCACTCAAGTCGGTCTCACTCAGGTCAGACTCTCTCAGGTCAGACTCTCTCAGGTCAGACTCACTCAGGTCAGTCTCACTCAAGTCAGGCTAACTCAAGTCAGACTCACTCAGGTCGGGCTCACTCAGGTCAGTCTCACTCAGGTCAGTCTCACTCAGGTCAGTCTCACTCAAGTCGGGCTCACTCAGGTCAGACTCACTCAGGTCAGACTCACTCAAGTCAGTCTCACTCAAGTCAGGCTCACTCAAGTCAGGCTCACTCAGGTCAGTCTCACTCAAGTCAGGCTCACTCAGGTCAGGCTCACTCAAGTCAGTCTCACTCAGGTCAGGCTCACTCAGGTCAGTCTCACTCAAGTCAGTCTCACTCAAGTCAGGCTCACTCAAGTCAGGCTCACTCAAGTCAGGCTCACTCAGGTCAGTCTCACTCAGGTCAGACTCACTCAGGTCAGACTCACTCAGGTCAGTCTCACTCAAGTCAGGCTCACTCAAGTCAGGCTCACTCAAGTCAGGCTCACTCAGGTCAGTCTCACTCAAGTCAGGCTCACTCAGGTCAGTCTCACTCAGGTCAGGCTCACTCAAGTCAGTCTCACTCAGGTCAGGCTCACTCAGGTCAGGCTCACTCAAGTCAGGCTCACTCAAGTCAGGCTCACTCAAGTCAGGCTCACTCAAGTCGGTCTCACTCAGGTCAGTCTCACTCAGGTCAGTCTCACTCAGGTCAGTCTCACTCAAGTCAGGCTCACTCAAGTCAGGCTCACTCAAGTCAGGCTCACTCAAGTCAGGCTCACTCAGGTCAGTCTCACTCAAGTCAGGCTCACTCAGGTCAGGCTCACTCAAGTCAGTCTCACTCAGGTCAGGCTCACTCAGGTCAGTCTCACTCAAGTCAGTCTCACTCAAGTCAGGCTCACTCAAGTCAGGCTCACTCAAGTCAGGCTCACTCAGGTCAGTCTCACTCAGGTCAGACTCACTCAGGTCAGACTCACTCAGGTCAGACTCACTCAGGTCAGTCTCACTCAAGTCAGGCTCACTTAAGTCAGGCTCACTCAAGTCAGGCTCACTCAAGTCAGGCTCACTCAGGTCAGTCTCACTCAGGTCAGTCTCACTCAGGTCAGGCTCACTCAGGTCAGGCTCACTCAAGTCAGGCTCACTCAAGTCAGGCTCACTCAAGTCAGGCTCACTCAAGTCAGGCTCACTCAAGTCGGTCTCACTCAGGTCAGACTCACTCAGGTCAGTCTCACTCAGGTCAGTCTCACTCAAGTCAGGCTCACTCAAGTCAGGCTCACTCAAGTCAGGCTCACTCAGGTCAGTCTCACTCAAGTCAGGCTCACTCAGGTCAGTCTCACTCAGGTCAGACTCACTCAAGTCAGTCTCACTCAGGTCAGGCTCACTCAGGTCAGGCTCACTCAAATCAGGCTCACTCAAGTCAGGCTCACTCAAGTCAGGCTCACTCAAGTCAGGTTCACTCAGGTCAGTCTCACTCAGGTCAGACTCACTCAGGTCAGTCTCACTCAAGTCAGGCTCACTCAAGTCAGACTCACTCAAGTCAGGCTCACTCAGGTCAGTCTCACTCAAGTCAGGCTCACTCAGGTCAGTCTCACTCAGGTCAGGCTCACTCAAGTCAGTCTCACTCAGGTCAGGCTCACTCAGGTCAGGCTCACTCAGGTCAGTCTCACTCAAGTCAGGCTCACTCAAGTCAGGCTCACTCAAGTCGGTCTCACTCAGGTCAGACTCACTCAGGTCAGACTCACTCAGGTCAGTCTCACTCAGGTCAGGCTCACTCAAGTCAGGCTCACTCAGGTCAGTCTCACTCAAGTCAGGCTCACTCAGGTCAGTCTCACTCAAGTCAGGCTCACTCAGGTCAGTCTCACTCAGGTCAGGCTAACTCAAGTCAGTCTCACTCAGGTCAGGCTCACTCAGGTCAGGCTCACTCAGGTCAGGCTCACTCAAGTCAGTCTCACTCAAGTCAGTCTCACTCAAGTCAGGCTCACTCAAGTCAGGCTCACTCAAGTCAAGCTCACTCAAGTCAGTCTCAGTCAGGTCAGTCTCACTCAGGTCAGTCTCACTCAAGTCAGGCTCACTCAGGTCAGGCTCACTCAAGTCAGTCTCACTCAAGTCAGTCTCACTCAAGTCAGGCTCACTCAAGTCAGTCTCACTCAAGTCAGTCTCACTCAAGTCAGACTCACTCAAGTCAGTCTCAGTCAAGTCAGTCTCACTCAAGTCAGTCTCACTCAAGTCAGTCTCACTCAGGTCAGTCTCACTCAAGTCAGTCTCAGTCAAGTCAGTCTCACTCAAGTCAGGCTCACTCAGGTCAGTCTCACTCAGGTCGGGCTCACTCAGGTCAGTCTCACTCAAGTCAGACTCACTCAAGTCAGAATCACTCAAGTCAGACTCAAGTCAGGCTCACTCAAGTCAGTCTCACTCAAGTCAGGCTCACTCATTTGCTCCTGAAGGCGTTGTCTCATGATTTCTCTTTCCGCTGTGAAGGCAAACACACTCGAGCTGTCAGCGGCTTAGAGAGAGAAAGATGGAGGCAGAGACGTTCGGTGCTGTAAATCTCCCTCAACCTCCCTGTAACATAGTTTGCAGTCTTTCTGGCATGTCATAAAAATATAAAATATAAAATGCCCAGCCAGAACGATAGTGGCAGGCCTTTCTGTCTGTATATCACTGGTTTACTTTCTTAGGGTGTTCACAGTTGTAGTTAGGTTCTTTGGTCCTGACCAAAAAAAAAAAAGAAAATTAGTCTTGGTCCGCTTGGAGTTCACATTGGCATTTGAACTCCGAATCTAAACCTAAAGGCATAACAGTAACAGAGCAATCGCACTAACAGACCCCCACCCCCCAATTGTTTGTTTACATTTTAATAATTACCTTTAAAAGCACACTCTTTTTACAACTAAAATAACAGTACATGGTGAAAAAAAAATGAATTCCCGAAAATTAAAACGGAAAAAAAACAAAACAGAATTTGGGAAAAAATAAAATGGATTTCATAAGGCCCTAAAAGATGCAAGGTGTGAACACACCCTTAATGCATGTTGCAAATGAGTTGTGAATGCGGTTTCATTTTAACTTGGTAACACTTTACGATAAAGTTCAGTTTATTTGTTTTTTTAATGTTTTCCCAAAGTCTCCCAAATGTTCTGGCAGGTTGCATCCTTCAAATGGCAGACAATATATAAACCAGACGTAAAAGCTTTTCTTAAATGTTGCAGTGGCCCTGAATAATTCCTGCAGATGTTTTCTCCAGTGCATTTTTAGTGAAGTAAGTGATCCGTGCCATTGAAGAAAGCACTGTCACTGAGCACAAAGATGATTGCACTGCATTATTACGTCCTCTTCGCAGCTTTCATGCGGCATGTCCGCACTGTCCGCAGAAATTCAATTCCAATCTTGGCAGTTATAGAAAGGTGTTTTAGCACACAGCGTGAGGAAAGTACATAATCATGTTGAGTGGGACGTCTGACGGATACATTAAGGGAGGTCTTTCTCGCATTCTCTGTGGTGAGTGGTGAATTATTCACTTTGTTTCTGGCCAACTGATGTGTGATCAGTGTGTGTGATGTTGAGAAACACTCACTGGAGCACCAACAATAACAGTGTGTGATCTGACAGCATCAGGCCACCCAACAACAACTCTCATATATTTAACCACACCTGAGACTTAAATAGCTTATAAAAAAATCTAAATAAAAATGTTGTAAGTATTGCAAGTATTTGTTTATAGACACACACAAATTCTTTTTTGATTCTCATAGTGTTAAAGGAGAACTCTGGCGAACAATGAACCTTTGGTCTAATAAAACATCGGTACATAGTCAATCGTTCTCTGAGATTTGTTTTCATGATAATCGAATGTAAAGAGTTTTATCTCTAAAAACTGTTTAGCGTATAATGCTAGTAATGGGGGCATTTACTAAGTAAAAAGAAATTGCTAGTTTATACCACTAACAAGGCTCAAAATAGCCCCACACTAACGCAGTAACATAATGAGGCTCCATACATGCAAAACGAAGCATTGAGAACTTTGTAAGTGTACAGACCGTTTAATAAGAAGATACTTTATGAAGACAGTTCACTTCGCGTATACAGGCAGGAGCCATCTTAAAAAATAGTCTCGATAAGTCGATCCCCGAACGCCATAAATACAGTTCAGAAGTTCGTTGAACTTCATAGAGTTCAGATCACTCAGCACGACGTTCGTGGTTCGACTTATCGAGACTATTTTTTAAGATGGCTCCTGTCTGTATGCACGAAGTGAACTGTCTTCATAAAGTATCTTCTTATTAAACGGTCTGTACACTTACAAAGTTCTCAATGCTTCGTTTTGCATGTATGGAGCCTCATTATGTTACTGCGTTAGTGTGGGGCTATTTTGAGCCTTGTTAGTGGTATAAACTAGCGATTTCTTTTTACTTAGTAAATGCCCCCATTACTAGCATTATACGCTAAACAGTTTTTAGAGATAAAACTCTTTACATTCGATTATCATGAAAACAAATCTCAGAGAACGGTTGACTATGTACCGATGTTTTATTAGACCAAAGGTTCATTGTTCGCCGGAGTTCTCCTTTAATAGTGTTATTCTCATAGTGAATTTACTAGTGTTAATTATCGAATTTGTTCACATTTCCATAATCATAGCATACTTCTTCTTCACAGAAAGAACCTCACGAGAGTGTGTTGATGTTATAATATCATCTGTTTCCTTTTTTTTCATTAGGATAATTCTCACTCTTCCTCAATCACCTGCACTTTTTTGATTGCTTTCTGAGTTGTGTGTACACCTCATGTGAGCGGTGGCATCTTTAACATGCCAAATCTCATCTCAGACTGAAGACAGATTTATGACACTTATAGACTTTCGACGTCCTGTATCTGTTGTGGCTTGTTCTGTTCTGAATATATGCAGTGCCGTTAGTGTTGGCTTTTATTTATTCCCCTCAAGGGCACATTCTTCCTCTCCTTGTAGTGATCGTAACCAAAGGCCATGTAGCAGATGTGCCAAACGCCATGATAAAAACACATACACTCACTCTCAGAGAATAGCGGCATTGACATGTTTTCACACTGAACTAGTTACTGCAGTGTCTGTGCGATTGTATACATTGTGATCCCTGAGAACACTTTCTTGAAAGCTTGATTTATTATAACTATTATAATTATGAGAACATGCCATTTTCTGAATGCTCTGACCTTGTGAAATAATATTGATATTTTGTTTATAAAAGTATGAAGCAGAGAGTGTTTCAGGTTCACTGTATAGCTGGATCTGATTGGCCGAGATGCCCTTGGTCGATTGTCATTGAGCGTCAACTGAATGACAGCAGACATTACAGTGGACAGCATGTGGTTTAGATTGCGAGTCCATAAAGCTGACAGCATATCGGTTTTCACATTTCCTCGCTTTCTGTAAAAACACATTGTACTGTGATGGCCAATTTGGTCTTGTAATCTGTGTGTTTGTTTGTTCAGTTTCTGCAGGACACTTTGGACGCCCTCTTCAACATCATGATGGAGAACTCGGACAGTGAAACGTTTGACACCCTTGTGTTTGATGCTCTGGTAAGATTGCCATAGTCTGTGCTTCAATCAATTATGCACAAATTAAAAATAAAATATGGACAATATTTCAGTCCTTGAATCTTACAAGCTGGGTGACTTTGTTTATAATCTGATATCTGACTATATTCATCTTATAATGATTATAAAAGAGATATTATTAGTATTATTAATAGCCATGTTTTTTCCTGTTACCCTAACATGTGATATTTTATTTGTTTTAAATGGTAAGATTAATATAGGTAGGTATGTCTACATATTTTAACAGCTCATTTTAAATTGTATTAATATTTTAATGTTTTAGAAAACTGACAAAAGAGTGTTATTAGGATTTATATTAAAAATTAATTAGATCTGATTAATTTTATTTAATTATATTTAAGATAAGATTTTATTATTATTCAATTATTCTTATTATTTTATTTATTATCTAAATATTAATTTTTATTTTCTTATTTATAAATAATAATTGTAAGAATAAGAATTATATTTTATTACATTTACATTTTGTTACCCCCCCCCCCAAGTATTTAATGTTTTAGTTTTAAAATAATAGGATTAACTAAATATATATTTGCATAATGCTAAATTATTTTAATATTTTTATAAGTTGCAATAACTTATTATCAGTACTTCTACTAAACATTCATTTGTTTGATAATTAATTTAAAAGAGCTTTTAATATTAATGTTTTAATATGCATGTTTGTTCATTTTCCAGCCTTTTTATTTATTTCTTATAATTTTTTTATTAAACAAACCTTTCTTTTTTTCTGGTTTCTGAAAGGTCTTCATTATTGGACTGATCGCAGACAGGAAGTTCCATCATTTCAATCCGGTTCTGGAGACGTACATCCGCAAGCACTTCAGTGCCACCCTTGCTTACACGTGAGTGGCAAATAAAGGAATGCTTCTGTCACTGTGTTAGCATGTGCTTTGTTTTTATCTATAACACGTGTGTATATTTTTCAGAAAGCTGACCAAAGTCCTGAAGAACTATGTGGATAATGCGGAGAAGCTCGCGGAGCAGCTGCTGAAAGCTCTGAAAGCTTTGGATTACATCTTCAAATTCATCGTGAGGTCCCGGGTTCTCTTCAACCAGTACGTACTTCCTTCACAGTCGGATCTCATGTGAAGTTTAGTTCATCCTACATCTGAATTTTTAAGCATATCACACCCAAATGAAGTGAAGTTTTATTTTTAGTCTGAATTAGGGAATCAAGGGGAGGATGGTTAGCTTCAGCAGTAAATACTGAAGCATCATTTCCATTGATGGCCATTAAGAAATATAATGAAAATGTGAAAAAATTGCGAAAAATTACTTTCGGTGCAATATGTTTATTGTGATACTTTGTATTAGTGCTGCATTATCTATCGTAATCTTGATATGTTTTTGTGCAATTATCAAATCAAAAATACTACTACATCTACTACCACCACCACCACTACTACTACCACCAATATTAAGACTGACTACTACTACTACTACTACTACTATTGAGACTACAACCACTATTAAGAATACTTCTACTACTACTACTACTACTATTGAGATTATAACCACTATTAAAAATACTACTACTACTACTACTACTACTACTACTATTGAGACTACAACCACTATTAAGAATACTTCTACTACTACTATTGAGACTACAACCACTATTAAGAATACTACTACTACCGCCTACTACTGCCACCACCACCACCACCGCTACAATTACCACCACTATTAAGACTGACTACTACTACTACCACTACTACTATTGAGACTACAACCACTATTAAGAATACTACTACTACTACTTCTACTATTGAGATTATAACCACTATTAAGACCACTACATGTACTACTACTACTACTACCACCACCACCACCACTACATGTACAACTACACTACTACTACTACTACTACATCTACTACTACCACTACCACTACATCTATGACTACTACACTACTACTACTACATCTACCACTACCACTACATCTACTACTACCACTATATCTACTACTACCACTACATCTACAATTACTACTACTACTATTATTAAGACTACGACTATTAGGACGGTTATTATTATTATGATTATTATTACTATTATGACGACTAATATTACTACTACTACTAATAATCAAAATAGTAATAGCAATAATAGTAATTTTTTGGTGGTGGACATTACCCCCTTCCATATGTTAAGCGCTGTATAAATGTAACATTATTATTAATATTAGTAGTAATATTAATATATTTCACTAAGTACACATTGACTCTGTTATTATGTTTATATTTACTTTTTGTTATTATTATTAGTAGTAGTAATATTGATATTATTTTTTAATCTCACAAGCAAGCACAGCTGTTTTTTTTTTTAATTAATTTTACTTAATTTTTTTTAAAGTTGCAATTAGATTGTTTTCCTCAAATCGTGTAGCCCAATACATACAGTATATTGTGCATTAGTAGACAAGGGACAAAAAAGCAAAAATAATAAATGGTGGTGTATCAACAGATCAAATCAGTTCCCCAGCCAATAAGCTGCAGTTAAGACTAAAATATGTGACAGTTTGATTTAATGGGCAGATCTGAAATGCCACACCTTTGTCAAACTGAAGTGCCCTTGTTTCCTGACGGATGTGAGGATGTGTGTGTGTGTGAGGCAGGAAGTGGAAGAGCCAGCGGTGCTGATTTAGGGAGACGGAGGACATGTTGAGTAATGACTCGGCCTAAATTAAGTTCAGCGCTGGTGATTAGCTTGTTGTCTGCGGGTGAAGTATATGATGGTGTCTCTCAGGCCCGTCTGAGGAGGGGATCTCGCTCTTAACTACCTGAACGTCCAGATCGCCTGACACCACAGAGCGCCGTGAAAGACACTAACGAGGAGAGTCTAATCTGATGTACTCACAGGCTTGACCTGCTCGCGGTGTTCACCAATTCATGAACCCGACCGCACACGTCTTCTAGTCGGAGATCCGCTAGACAGGCCGGTCTGCAATGAATATGATGAGAATTATGACAAAACATAAATAATTATGCTATTTTTGTCAGACTGGTGTCAAATATTAATCAATGTTTGCTGCAGCTCCGTTCAGCATGATTCTTATAACCTTTTGAAATCAGCATAAATAAATTGATTTATTTATTTATTTTGGATGCTGATTGAAATCAATAACCTAGGATTTTGGAAAAAAAGGTCCTTTTTCATAACAATCAAGCACATTTATCTTTTTTTATTTTTTTTATTATTTTTTTTTTATTTGTTTATTTGAAAAGGGACAATGTACACTAATCAACATTCACAACAAATGTAAGTGCACCCGAGTTAGCCACAGGCTAGTTTTCATCGGCAGTCCCCTTGCCAGATGTTACTAGGCATCCTAAGATAATAAATAATAACAATGCAATACAGTTCAATATACAATAAACAAAAAGTAAAAAGAATAGAGTGTGTTAAAATCACAAATAATCAAATAAACATGAGATTTAAAATCTCAATATCTCAACATTATCTCATTACTGTAATTTAATATGTTTGTTTTAATAAAATTATTATAAACTACAAGACATATTTCAATAGTACATAATTTTCATCATTTACATCGAGTTCATCATTTTTAAAAAAAATTTTCTGGTATTGCAAAAAAATAATAAAATATTTTGGGATGAAATATGACTTTGGCACTTTTTTTATGCAAAATATAATATTTTATATTTTGTTTGATTTTATGGTGAAACATGATCTCAGCATTTCTTGACAGTTTTCATGAGATTTGTTTTTAAACTCTAAAAATAATGCAGTTCCGCCATATGCCCGCTGTATTGTTGTAATTTATGGGTATAAAGCGCTTCAAGATAATTAATGGTCAACTGGAGCGTGAAGAATATTTCAATATATTTGACGGGCCATTAGTTAAGTGTGTGTGTGTGTGTTTTGATGGAGGGCTGGTCTAATGTAAATGCTCTGGATGAGGGTGAGGATATCTGACTCCAGAGCACACAGAGTCTGCTAGGGCTAATCACATCAGCAAAGGCTGCGTTTAATGAATGCACGAACGTGGAAATTCTCCTGGTGTTTGTGTGGATCGCTGGAGTGATGCCGAGAAGGCCCGTCAGCGCTTGCCCTTCAAACTAGATTACAGAGCAATTCATCAGTCTGATCAGCCTGTAATCAGGAGCTAGTCTAGAGGTGCCAGTGAACAGGTGTGTGTGTGTGGAGTTTGATGCATTGTTTTTGATGTGGATTTGTATGGCTCCGGCTAGTTTGATGTCATGGATTTGCATACCAAACACATGTAGACCGGTCTGTTGGCTCTCTGAAGATTTAGATGAAGTGATTCTCGCTGCCCAAGCCACTGATCATCAGCTGTTTGTGTGTTTTCCTTCAGGCTCTACGAGAACAAAGGCGAGAGTGATTTCATGGAGTCCCTGAGGAATCTCTTTACTTCGTTTAACTCCATGATGAACAGCAGTGCTGAGGGGACCGCCGGGGTCAAGGTGAGACCGCTTTCTGATCAGCTGATGATTTAAACGCTGCATTAGTAAAGCAAAAATGAAAATTCAGTCATTTACACATCTGGATTTTCTTTTCACACACACATAAGATGTTTCTGAGAATGTTCACGCTGCTCTTTTACATACAATGAAGGCCTACAAATGACATAGCAACATGACAGTAGTGTTAAAGGTGCATTGCGCAACATTTCTGTTAAAAATAGCCGTTTTTCTAACCCATACATGCTTTAACGGTCGCCTGATGTGCTGAATGAGCCCTTCTCTGATCACTGTGATCGCCTCTATAATCCTGTACAGTAAATAAATAAGAGGGATTCGGGACGGAGTTTGAGACTGGGCAAGACGTCATGCGCGTTCACGCTCGCCTGGCAGGTTTGTGTATTTGCCGCCATTCTGCGTATCAGCGAAGACAACTCGAGCGACAAAACTTTAGTCAACTTTCCACAAAAGTAGAAGATGGATTCAAAGAGACCGGCTTGTAGTTCATTCCAAACCCCAACACAACTCCACGCAAGACAAAGAAAATAAAACTTGTGTCTAGTGCCAGGCGTCGGAATAAGACGAGAGTCGACATCGGGAAGCTTTCGACAAATGGAGAGATCTCCGGTCGGCTCTAGGGCTCAAACGGGTCCTATACAAAGTAATAACTTATATTGTTTATGAACGTAATACTTTTCATAATAACACAATCATAAGTGGATACAGTAAACACATACAACAGTTCAACATGGAGATAGATAGACCAAAGTTTTCTACTACCCATACTGTAATTTCCTCAAATGCTTTTCATATATTTAAAATGACTTGCAGATTTATAACTTTATTACCTCTGAAGACATTATGACTGTAACAAAAGATTGGTTATGAACAGCTTGTGCAAGCGTGTGTGTTGTCCGAGAGTGTGCAGTCCTGGTTGCAGTTTCGCTTGTCGCCAGAGGGGGCGTAGTTCTGCAAAAACTCAGAGACTTGCGCAATGCACCTTTAACAAAAGGATTTGAAAATAATTACTTGTTTTCAAACGCTCCCCTAGCCTGGTATTTGTTGTTTAAACGGTTTGTCCCTTCCCCAAACTCACATCATTGTGTGTGTGTGTATAGATTTTCAATCTTATGATGGCTTATGTAAGGAAAAATCTGAAATTTAGATCATTACTCACTGAATATCTCTTGTTGTGGCTTTCAACATTCATTTGCACATCCATATATTCAAAATTGATGCATCAATGTCAGTTAAGAGGCGTGACAACCAATGAAATTTGGTATAATTTGTGCCAAGCTTGACATAGTTTTGCATAGCTAGACCCACCGAGACACAAAGAGAAACTGATACTTTAGAGAAGTCAAACTATTGTTTTATTTTTGATGTGCATTTAGGGACAGACGATGTATGTATACTCCCCGACGGTAATAAATACTGAATAAAATACTGAAGTTAATAGACAAGACAAGCAGTAATAGATTAGTATTTAATTTAATGTTAATATCTAGCCTATCAACAACATGCCTTAACTCAATATGTGTCATAGTTTTGATGCCACTATTCTGTCTAGTGTCTAGTCTAGTTTTCTTGCTAAAAATTATAATTAATTCAAAACATTACAAAATGTTTATCTGAAGATGTCCTCCTAGAATGCTGGTCTGTTTCATCTGGAGGACATAAATATTGATGTGTGTGTCTTTCATCTGTTGAAGTGTGTGTTTGTGTGTGTGTCTCTCGTCACCTGACCTCCTCCTCTGTCCACTGTGGCTCTGGGTTCGCCCTCTTTAGCTTCTCCTCAAGGTACTCTATCTCTCCTCCTCTCCTTCCATCTGTTTCTCCACTCCTCCTCCTCCATTTGTGTGCAGGTTTTTTTTTGTCCTTGACCTTTCCTGTCACTTCCTTTTTGCTTTAACACACCTCAGGTCTAATACACACACACACACACACGTGCGCGCTGCGGCCGTCACTATGGATCAGGCCCTTTGGATGGGTCGTGAGTCAGCCTGAAGTGATGCAGGTGTGCCGGTGGCCCAGATCTTAGTGGTTTTGTCAGAAAGTTAAAAATTGATGTTGGTAAGACGCACGTGTGAAACGGCCAGGGAGGGAATGCGCTAGCTTTGTTGCGAGAGACGGCGTGAGTGAAATGGCACGGCAACTTGATGTACATTGTGTTCACATGGGCTTACACTTCTGTAAGTCAGTTTTTACTGCACCTGCTGAGTTAGTTTTTTCTGTTTTTTTCTGTTGTTTTAGAGGGAAATTAAGGGAACGTGTGTCATTTGTTGAGCTCTGTTGTTAACTAACTGTTAGCCTATAGTGTTGAAAAAAGGATTTTAAAAGCCTGTTATTGGTCTTTGAAACAGATAGCCTTGCCCCAAACTCTCACACACAAAATGATTTCCATCCATCCTTCCATCTATCCATCCATGCATCCATCCATGCATCCATCCATCCATCCATCCATGCATCCATCCATCCATGCATGCATGCATGCATCCATCCATCCATCCATCCATCCATCCATCCATCCATCCATGCATCCATCCCTCCATCCATCCCTCCATCCATCCATCCATCCATCCATCCATCCATCCATCCATCCATCCATCCATCCATCCATGCATCCATCCATCCCTCCATCCATCCATCCATCCATCCATGCATCCATCCATCCATCCATCCATGCATCCATCCATCCATCCATCCATCCATGCATCCATCCATCCATCCATCCATGCATCCATCCATCCATCCATCCATCCATCCATGCATCCATCCATCCATCCATCCCTCCATCCATCCATCCATCCATCCATCCATGCATCCATCCATCCATGCATCCATCCATCCATCCATCCATGCATCCATCCATCCATCCATCCATGCATCCATCCATCCATCCATCCATGCATCCATCCATCCATCCATCCATCCATCCATCCATCCATCCATCCATGCATCCATCCCTCCATCCATCCCTCCATCCATCCATCCATCCATCCATCCATCCATGCATCCATCCATCCCTCCATCCATCCATCCATCCATCCATCCATGCATCCATCCATCCATCCATCCATGCATCCATCCATCCATCCATCCATCCATCCATCCATGCATCCATCCATCCATCCATCCATCCATCCATCCGTCCATGCATCCATCCATCCATCCATCCATCCATCCATGCATCCATGCATCCATGCATCCATCCATCCATCCATCCATGCATCCATCCATTCATGGTGTGAGTTTGTGGCAGTGCTATTCTGGCTCTAATTATGTACAGTGTGTATGCAAGTATATGTGACGACTTGACCTACAGAAATATAATCATCTGTTGTTTCTAATTCTATGTAAGATGATTTAATATTATGTGTAAAATGATTTTGACATTTTAGATAAAATCGGTTTTTGGACTGATTTCCATTTTTTTATTATTATTTTTTTATCCGTCTTATCAGTTCTTATCCATAGCATGCATATAATTGTCAGTTAGGGTTATAGTCCAGATGTTTTATTCCCTTACGTTGCATATTCAGTCTTGTGATCGTATCTGTGATCCAGACTGTCCAGCTTCTTATAATGTGTTCGTCCGGTGCAATAACTTTCAGCCAGTGCCAGACTACCTGTGAATTCATTGCTGTAAAACTCTTGATCTGACTGGTGTTACAATTTCAAAAACACATCAATTCAAAAATACGAGTTACAACCTCAGATATTCACTTTTTTTTTTTGTAAACTCCAAGACCTCATTTATCAGCAAGACTTCATATTACATTCAGTTCTTTAAGACTTTTTTTTCTTAAAAATGATTTCAAAGTATGTCAACATTTGACACAATGATGATCAAACAGGAAGGAGCCATTTTATATCTAGATGTGTACACTCTCAGGACCATGGCTTCAAGTGTGACTAAATAAAATCTGACATTTATCAGCTGAACAGCAGTGGCCTGCTTTAGAAAGAAGCTATGAGTTGTGTCTCTTATTTAACAAGGTTTAAAGCGTTCCCATGTTGATTGTTGCCAAACTGGAAGGTTCCCTAAATCATTATTTTTTTGGTCCTGTAAAAAGATTCCCGTCAAACCCTGTCCAGGAAAACTGAAACTACCCATACGGACCAGGCAGTTATTGAGGCTCCAGCTCTAAACCCAACCCTAAAATCGGATTGGTTGATAAGACTATTGTACAGTATTTCACATTCTAGTTGGTCATTTGTTTGTTTATTTACATTCTTTTCGCATTCAGATTTTTTTTACAGACATTTTATTGCACATTCTAGTTTCTTGTTTTCTTTATTAGGGGTTCAAGCACGAAGTGCTGAAAACCAATTGTAATTTGTTTTTAAATTGTTTAATTTTTAATTTTTCTTTTTTTCCCTAAAATGCATCGGGCAAACACCGTAAGTTCTAGAGACTTGAAAGTTGGGCAGAAGATAGTCCTCAGTTTGGGGAAAACCCATCAAAGTATGAACCCGACTGGCCAATAGGTGGCGCTACAGTAAGCACTCAAGTATCATACATCACTGTGATCCCTGGGTCAAGACGGACAAAACGTATATCTCCGATTTCAATCCTGCCATCTTGGATTTTGTCCAAAACTTATGGTGCGTTCACGTGCTAAGGTTATTATGGTAAATATCAAAAGCCGACGTGCAAATGCACATGAACACCCCCTCATGTGGTATTTTCCACTGGGCAACCCGTAGAATATTTTAATGCACGAGTTGCCGAGATGAGACAACCTTTGACCTTTTCAAAATGGCCGAGAGCAGAGCGAGAGTCGTGAATGGTAAAAATATGTACTATTCATGATCTAGAAAATATACAGCATATTATTTACCGTTTGATTTTTGATAAATCATTTTCTTGCAGATGACTTCAGCAATCTAAAATAGTTTTAGCTAAATAACAGGTCTGGATCTCCATGTTTACCATATTACGACAACTAAAGCACTTGAACGCAACACACTGGTAAATACCAGTTCACATATGGAAAATATCATATTTTCCATAGCATATGAACGCACCGTTACTTTTGGGAACTAGTTCTAGGTTTTTCGCAGGTTTATGGCAAAACACTCAAAGCCTATAAATCCTAAACGAAAACTCGCTATATTGCCTTATGTGCTTAAAGGCCTTAAATGCTTGAACCCCGCTAAATGCTGCTTGCAGCTTTAATTTAGATGTCTTAATTTATTTTATTTTATTTTTTTATTTTTTTATTTTTTTTACAGACATTGCAATTAACATTCTAAAATTTAGTTAGTAATTTTTTTATTTTTTTTTCATTTATTTGTTTTTTTTTATTCATTTTTGTTAATTTATTTCACATTGTGGAGCTGTTGGTGACTGATATCTAGATGGACGGTTTGGCACTTGTGTTAGTGGGTGGGAGAAGGAAACACATGTATTTGGTTCACTGGTCATCTTTGCTCTGGTTATTGACCGGGCTGTATTGGAGTATTTTTGTGTCATAACCATCTTCTCTGCATGCGGTCCGTCTACTATTGATCGCTCGCTCACTTGGGCCGTTCATCACAGCTGGGTTTGCTCTGAGCAGAAATAGACTGATGAAAATCACAGCCGCCAGTGTCTCTCATAATCATTAAATAAGGGTCTTGACGCCTTCATATAATTATTTAAACAGTGTGATGTCACAGCACATTTTTATCAGAAATAACACAATCCACTACATTTTGTTAAACTTTTTATTCTGACTAACCATGATTTTCCCCTTTATTTAATGTTTAATGTAATTTTAGATCATTGATTATACTAATAGATCCTTGTTTGTGTGAACTTCTAGGGCGCTGCGCTGAAATACGTCCCAACTATCGTCAACGATCTGAAACTGGTGTTTGATCCAAAGGAGCTCAGGTGAGTTTATCACGCTTGTGTCTTTCGTGTGTTTAGCAAATATTCATATATTCATGATATTCAGGGATGCACACAGGCAAAATGTAATAAAGAATGAGTATGAGGAAGAGTGTGTGTGTTGCAGCAAAACTTTCAAAGAATGAGCAACACGTTGAAATAAAAGCTGATTAAAGAGCTTAATCCCACCAAAGCCACATCTGTAAAATAATCCACAAATGTAGGTGTTATCCTACTGTGCGTTTTGACTTAGAATTACCTTTACCTTTATTTTTATTTTATTTATTATTTTCATTTATTTTGGTTTATTTGATTTTAAATTGTGTTTATTTTTTGCTACTATTTTAAATTTAATTTAACCCTCTGGGGACTGAGCCCTTTTTGGTCCGTTTTCTCTATTATTACATTTGGGCTTATAAACTATGTAATGAAGATGTAACAGTGTTTGGTATCTATGGATTCAGAAGACCCTAAGCTAACACAAGCATGCATGTAATGTGTTTATAAAGGAAGTGTGAGTGAAAAATGTACACTAAACTAGAGAATTTCAAAAACGGAAATTTGATTTTTGTCATTTATTTCTGAAAATCACACATCACACAACAATAGTGAACAAAAATATATTTGTCAGCCTTTGCTTGTCAGACATTTGTAATTGTTAAATAAAATATGTAAAGAACAATGAAAAATCTAACTTTATTTACAAATAGTCCCAGGCGTTTTCCAAGCAATGCTTTCTCCTCATCACTCTCCAATAATTGTTCCAGAGCCTATTTCAACGTAAATTGTTTACTGCTCGCATCATAAAGTAAAATAATAAATAATGCTATAATTGTATATATATATATATTATAATTATTCTGTCTCTCATTTAAATCTCAGCGCTTATACCCGATGCGTCTGTTCGCTTTCTGTCGTCTCCTCCACCACTCAATGCTGTTTCCGTCATATCCCTTACTATAGTACCACCCATTAAAAAAACTAAAAAGTCCTCCAATTTGCTAGATTGGGTAAGAAAAATATTTCTCCATCTGCAATTTTTCCATTGGTTGTTGCTCGTGAATCTGCCAAACAACATCGATTTCATTGGCCTTTGACGTAGTGGTATTGCACAACAAGGAAGTGTGTAAACACTGTTTTCATCGGAATCCGAGGTCGACGGCAAGAAAGACCGCGCCTCTCTATCATGAATACTTTTAAAGATAAGTACACATTAGTAAAAGTATGTCATTTTGGGCGCTACCGCCCAATCCGTCCCCAGAGGGTTAGTAGGAAAACAGATTGCTTATTAACATACCAATTCATGTCTTTCTGAGGTTTAAACTCTAAAAATAATTAAAGGAATAAAACAATATTGTTGCTCATCCTGTCTCTTTCTCCTCATCCCATCTTTTTCTGTTTTTATGTTCTCTCTCACACACAAAAAACCCAGTTGTTGTCCTCATCATGTCTTTTTCTCCATGTTTCTCTCTCCATCCTGCTTCTTATCTCTCTCTCTCTCTCTCTCTAGTTCTACCTGTTCATCCTCATCCTGTCTCTCTCTCCTCATGCCTTTCATCTCAAGCTGTTCCTCTCATCATGTGTCTGTCCATCTAAGTGACTTCTAGAGGCTCTTCATGAAATCAGGTGTGAATGAGGAGTGTAATTCTGAAGTCTGATCCGCACGAGTTTCGTGTTCCTCGCACAAGTTTCTGTGGATCTGATCATCATTAATGTCTTTCTGCCCGATTGAGTTTTGCTCGCATGTCATTATCATTACTGCGTTGCTTTGCTGCTCAAGTGTTTCTCACACACTTTAGATTCCACACACAATCAGCACAAAGTGATCCTGTTGCCGTGGAGACGTGGTGGTCACTCCATCCTGTGTGTTGGTCTGGATAATGCGTTCATCCCTGAGTGGCATTATAATGGAGTTAGGCGGGTCTTGTAATGGCTACATTTACTACACGTACACACACACACACTCACAGTGGGAGATGACGGTATTAATCCTGCTTCTGCTTATTTGAGATTTATCTGACCATGGCCTTTCCTTACTAAACCAATTGTCCGAGACGTGACATTTTCACAAGACATTTTGTAACGGCGGGGATCTTGTGGATTTGTGTTCTTGTTGTGTTTAGCCTGAGATGTGACCGTATAAATGGAAATATGTGCATATAAAGTACATTTAGTTGCAGCCAACTTGTGGTCACCTGATACGAGGATGGTTGATGGTTAATATAATGCTGAGATATTATAATCCATTTAGTTTAATGGTGTATTTAACAGCTAGTTAGTCTCAAATGTGCCGGATAAACGCTTCAGCTTAGAGGCCCGTGTGTGTCCTGACTGAAGTGGACTCTCACTTTGCAAAGCCTCGTTCTGTTCTTCCCTTCTTTTCATCCCTTGTTCTTTAATCCTCGTGGTTCTTCCCCTGTGTTGGAGAGTTTGATGGGTTAAGAGGATTTAAACCCCTCCTGTGTCTCTTCAGCTCGTCCAGCACTGCCGGAGCAAACCTGGCCTCCATTAGCTTCCCCTTCACCTTTTCCTTTTCCCTTTCCTTCTCTTTTATTTCTTGGTTTCCTGAATCATTTTTTCTTTCCTTTCTTTTTTTCTTTTGCCGTTTACTAATCTATTTTTTTCCCGTTTTCTTGACTCGATTTTCCCTCCCCTTTACCTTTTCATTTCCTTTTTTCCTTTTCATATCCGTTTATTTTATAAACTTTTACATTTTTTTGTCCTTGACCTTTTCCTTTTAATTTTTCCCTCTTCCTTTTCTGTTTCCACTTTAACATATCTGTTTTATTTCCCTTTTCTTGGCACACTTTCCTTTCCTTTACCAATATCCCTTTCCTTTCATTTCCCAATATCCCTTTCCTTTCATTTCCTTTCCTTTCCTTTCCTTTAATTTCCTTTACCAGTATCATTTTCATTTCCTTTCTTTCCTTTACCAATATCATTTTCATTTCTTTTCCTTTACCAATATCATTTTCCTTTCCTTTCTTTTCCTTTACCAATTTCATTTTCTTTTCCTTTCCTTTACCAATTTCATTTTCCTTTCCTTTCTTTTCCTTTACCAATATCATTTTCATTTCCTTTCCTTTACCAATATCATTTTCCTGTCTTTTACCAATATCCCTTTCCTTTTCTTTCCCAATGTCCATTTCCTTTCCTTTCCTTTCCTTTCCTTTCCTTTCCTTTAATTTCCTTTACCAATTTCATTTTCCTTTCCTTTCTTTTCTTTTCCTTTACCAATTTCATTTTCTTTTCCTTTCCTTTACCAATATCCCTTTCCTTTCCTTTCCTTTCCTTTCCTTTCCTTTCCTTTCCTTTCCTTTCCTTTCCTTTCCTTTCCTATAATATCCTTTTCATTTTCCTTTTTTCCCTTGTGTTGTTTTCTTGGCTCACTCCCATCCCCTTTTCTTTTTTCTTTTCCTTTTCTCTTTTTCTCATCTTTCCATTTTCCTTTTCCCATTTGTATTTCTCTCTTATTTCCACTTGTTATCCTCATTCACCTTTCTCTTTTTTATTTCCTTTCCGTCATATTTTTATTCCTATTAATATAGAATCAGGTCTAAGGAACTGTAGGGCAAAACAATCAGGAAGACATCTATTTTTGTTCATTTTTTTTTCACAGTTTAATATGCAGAGACAGAACTAAGGAAGTCGTTTGCATGTTAAATCTCCCAAAAGGATAAAAACTGACACTTCAGATCAGTTTGTGAATCTTTTTGTCTGAGCATCCCGAAAAAAAGCATGTTTGGGACTGTCTGTTTGACTGACCAATGATGGAAGGACCAGTTCAGGAAAACTGCTTAGCTCTTCACTATCAGGGAAGAAATATGACTCAAGGCCTGGCTAGTTCACAGTGTGTTACTGTTAGCATTGCACTGTTTGCTCACAGTTCATTGTCATAGAAGTGTGTTTGCTCAGCAGAGAGGTCGAGGGTCCCGCACACAAACACACACACACACAGACTGCTCTCATCTTGCTTTCTTCTAGAGCCAGTTCTTTCCACAAAATGAGCCACTGCTCTCCTGTTGTGCCCTGGGCTTGTGTTTGTGTGTGTATTCAGATGAGGATAGAGAGGTACTGCCAATGGCACTTAGCATGTTTTAGATATGAGCTGTCACTTCAACAGCAAGTGGAGATGAGAAGAGAGGGATGTTCAACACACACCTGTTAGTGTTAACTAAGCAGTGTTAACCCTCCCTCCATGTCTGTCTGTCTGTCTTTCTCCAGCAAGCTGTTCAGTGACTTTATACTCAAAGTTCCTCTGGGGCGTCTGGTGAAGCAGAAGTTGAACTGCATGATTGACATCGTCCACAGCGACCTGTTTACTCAGCATGGTACGTGTACACACACACACACACACACACACAGATTGTCTCTAAAGGTCACTGTCTGACACCAGCTATATGATGGTGTGTGTGTTGCTGGTGGTTGTGCGATGTTGTGATTGGTGTGTTTTCTGGAAGTGCATCTCTTCTGATGGGTAAAATATGAAGCCTTATGAAGATTGCATGGTTGCCCACGTTGAATATTAATATATTGAATATTAAATATCCTTCCTTCCTTCCCTCATTCCTTCCTTCGTTTATTCGTTCCTTCCTTCCTTCCCTCTTTCCTTTCTTCCTTCCTTCCCTCCTTCCTCCCTTACCACTTTCCTTTCTTCCTTCCCTCCTTCATTTTTCCTTCCTTATTTCCCTCCCCCTTCCTTCCTTGCTTATTCCTTCCTTCCCTCCTTCCTCCCTTACCTCTTTCCTTCCTTCCCTCCTTCATTCCTTCCTTCCCTCTTTCATTCCCTCCCTCCTTCCTTCCCTCCTTCCTTTCTTCCCTCCTTCATTCCTTCCTTCCCACTTTCCTTCCTTCCCTCTTTCCTTCCTTCCTTCTCTCCCTCCTTCCTTCCCTCCTCCCTCACTTCCCTCCTTCATTCCTTGCTTCCTTCCATCCTTCCTTCCTCCTTCCTCCCTTACCTCTTCCCTCCTTCCTTCCTTCCTTCCTTCCTTCCCTCTTTTATTCCTTCATTCCTTCCTTCCCTCCTTCATTCCCTCCCTCCTTCCTTCCTTCCTTCCTTCCTTCCTTTGTTCGTTCCTTCCTTCCTTCCTTCCTTCCTTCCTTCCTTCCTTCCTTCCTTCCTTCCTTCCTTCCTTCCTTCCTTCCTTCCCCCAGTATCACTCCATTATATTGTAGAAATGCCTGATTTACAGTAAGATTCATATAAAACTTGTGGCTACCACTTTTAATGCAGTTGTCTGCAAAAAAGTTCTATATTAGTGTATTTCTAGCAGAAATCCAGCTAATTCTCATTAATATTTATGGTTTTGCATGATTGATGGTGCATGTAAGATGTGAGTGTGTAAGCGATGTGCACCAGTTCTCTGTCAAACTGAGTTTGTGTTGTGTGCATATATGTGTGTGTTGCGCGTGTTTGGACGCGTCCCAAGGTGAAGTGTTAAAGCAGCGACATATGGCGGCTCTGCGGGTCGATTGTAAGTAGATGCACGTCGTTCAGCAGTAATTATCAGTGGATGTGTCTCCTGTCCTGACTTAATTAAATCACTCATCACACGTCCATGCACCGTCTCATGCACTTCAGTTTCTCTCGCTCTCATAAGGAACAACATAAAGAAATAGGATTTAATGAATTATTTACAAGTGTAAATAATCTGATAATTTGATAAATAATTGTGAGCTAAACATGCTTGAATGTGCAACATTAGCTTTGTGTATATACTTTTAATACATTTAACACAGCAAGATTAATTCTCAAGTTTGTATATGAAAAAATTGGACATTTCTTTAGTTATTTCATATACAATTATAATTACATTTTAAACTGAATTTACTCATGGTTTTGTTAACATAATACTGTTTGTTTTTCATTTAGCTTCTTGTGGGCGTTAGAATATAAAATAATATATTATACAAACATTTGTAATAATATTATTAAAAAAATGAATTAAATTTAAATTGTAATTTTATACCTATATTTATATTTCATGTATATGAAATGCATTTAAATTATAATTGTATTTGTATATAATTACATTATATAATTTATACAAAAAATAATCATTTAATTAATTTTTGTATGTATATTTTAAAATAATTGTATGTGTTTATTTTATTTATTTATTTATTTTTAAGCCGCTGGTATAATAGTAATGTGTACCCTGCTGAAGTTTCTTCTAGATCTTTATAAGCCGCTGCTGGTCTTTCTAACTCACCCGTTATTGGCACCAGTAGTCTGTGGAAAAATGAGATTTGAAAAGTTGTTGAGCTGTAGATCTTTTTGTCGTGTCTCACTGAAGGACTCCTCCAGCACACGCTTCCCAGTGCCAACTGCTCCACTGGAATAAATTACACACAAATGGGCTTGTCTAACCTGAACAAATGTGTTGAGCGCGCTCGCGGCTGGTGTCACTTCTTGTTGTTTTTCTGAGTAGTGCCCGTGCGTGTGTGTGTGAGTGTTTCATTATACTTCAGCACAGATTTGTCAACTTTGAATTATTGTAAACAAACATTTAGCCAAAGTAAGCTTCACGTGACTGTTGACTCATGCAAAGGATGTAGAGGATTTCAGGTTTCATTTCTGTCTAATGAGCGTTAGTCTGATGTTAATTTTTGCATTCTGTTTGACAGCATGCTAATATGCAGTTTTAATGGTTGTTTTCCAAGGCGAGCGTGCATGACTGTTACTCTCGCTCATTCCTGCGGTTGCTGATCTGGATCAAAGTCAAGTCTAATCTAGTCTTTACATTGGTGCCACGTGTCAATATGAAATCATAGAGCCCCATAAAGCCTGTGATTGTGCATTTCACTTCTCTAAATGTAAATGTATTCAGTCATTTATGCATGCATTTATTTGTGCTGTATTTTATCAATTTATTCTTTTTATTTAATATGTTATTGCCGTGGCCCTGTGGTCTCTTGGTGACCCTCTGAACACACATGCGCTAGATGAATGTTTTCTGTCGTGTGATGTCGGCCTTCGCTCCTTCAAAAAACACTTTTTATATCACTGACCATTTCTGTCTGACTGAGCAGGAGTTTGAAAACAACAGTCCTGTTTTCTATTCTTGTTCTTTGCACTTTAAAAAGGTAACAAGGGAAACTCTGCTCTCATGAAAGCAATATATCACTCAATACATCACTCAATATAACACTGACCTGGACGACCCTGAGCTGAAATAAACCTGAAGACTGATCTGTGCTTCACAGTGACTGTCTTTTGGATTGATTGATTGATTGATTGACATTCATTCATTCATTCATTTCTTTATTTCTTTATTTCAAGGATAGCCCGTTGAGATGTACCGTCTTATTTTCGAGGGGGTCCTTACAATAATGGCAAACAAAACAAGATGATACAGAGTAAAATATAAACAATATTTCAAACACTAAAGTACAAACAAACACACAAATTATACACTGACAAGATGATTAAATAAATAAATAAATGAATAAATAAATAATTGTTTACAATAATACAATAAATAATATCAAAAATAAAAATACAATACAATAATGAAAAAATGATAAATAATAAATAAGTAAATAAATAAAATTTAAATTTAAATAATTTTAATATACTTTTTTATTATTTATTTTATTTTATATGATGTTTAGAGACAAGTAAGTGTAAAATTCATCATGACACAATGATGAGTTCAAATAAGGACTCCGCTGTCTCAGCAAATGTCTGTACAGACAACACTGAATAAATGAGTCTGCTTTCTGAAATTCTCCTATTACACGGCCACTTTCAACATAATCAAGTTAGTGAACAATTGAAGTAAGTTTCAGTTGTTTTATAATGCCAGAAGAGAGAGAGAGAGCATGTTGGAAGCATTTGAATGCTCTGTTTGCCATGATCATAATCAAATATTCCAGCAAGCCATGCAAAATGAATTGATTATTTCATGAACATAACTCTGCAAACAAAGCAGAAAAATACAATTGAGCGCACAAAAACTGGCAAACTTAAAATTCAGCAGTGTTTCTTGGAAGCCTTCATGATTTTAACGTTACTTTCATAACACTTTTCATTTTTGCTCATTTTATTGCTCGTTTTCATTTTAGCAGACTTGTACAAAACTAATTCCCTGACCTTTGGAAATTGCTTAGACATCGAATCAGTTTGGAGCCATGAATTTTGAGACTGCTTTTGACTTTTTTTATTTTCCTTTTCAGTGTGCATCTGACAGGTCACAACATGTCTGTGAATTGCCCTTCTAGATTTCTAGACTATTTTTTCTCTGAAATATTTACATTTATGCATTTGGCAGATGTGCATTTTTTTTAATGCACAGCTCGCTGCTGATGTCAGACGCTGTGATTTATTCTGCTGTGAACCTGATTTTAATTTTGGCTTGTGAAGTGATGTCTCAAAGTTCACGGGCAGGCCAGTTATTTAAAGCATAAGCGAATTGTGCATGCACTCGTAAAAGTATAGTGTGGATTTATTTGTATGATTTTAAACGGTCCCGAACAGCATGACAAATGAGCTTTCGGGAAGGCCAGTGGGAGTTCCTGTGTGTGTTTGCTCCAGTAATGACTTCTCATTGAAGACAAAAGAAAATGCATTGATTCGGCTCGCACATGCTCTCACAAAGCCCCGCCTCCCACGTTGATGGACAGATACTGTGCCACGCCCCCTTATTTTATTTATACTGATTTCTTCACTGTAGTTGTGCAGCACATGTCAGTATCTGTACTTTAAAGTGAAGTGTGTGTTAGTGTGTGAGATGTGTTTGCTTTAATGAAGAATTAGAGATATTATGTTAAAGCCTTTTATTTAGCAAATATTTGGCCTTTTTGAGCCCACTGTTCCCAAGTGATCCACTTGACAGTACATAGTATACACTTATTTATTTGTTATATATATATATATATATATATAATTTTATTTATTATATTTTCATTATGATCAGTGCCACTCATCTGCTTACATTTGTCTAGTCACCTACAAATCAATGTAGTTTTTGCATCGAGCAAAATATATTAATTTTTTTCATTAAATAAGTACTTTTTTTATTAATTATTTATTAATAAGTATAATTATTATTAAATAATTTCATTACTATTTTAAATTAGATTTTGTTCATATTTTCCAATTTCATTTTAATTTCAATAAAAGTTTCAGTAATTTTGTTGTGTATCATTTTTGAGTTTTTTTAAAAATGATTTATTATTTATTGCATTTCAGTTTAGTTTTAGTTTTTTTTCAGGTATAATAATAACCCTGTCGCAAATAGTACAGATTCCTTAATATTTTGTATATTTCGTTATGTTAAACATTTCGTGTTGCCATAGAATCATTTCTATTTAATGTTTTAACATTTTAAAACTTGATTTTTTTGGGGTTTTAAAAAACGTTTTTATTTACGTATTCTTTTGTTGATTTTATTAATTTATTGCTTGATTTTATTGATTATTCTTTTGTGGATTGTTGATTTTATTGATTTGCTGAGTAAGTCTGCCTATATGGTCACTTCAGGTTGTGAAGGGACTATTTCATCTTTGTGTGTGTGTGTGTGTGTGTAGACTGCAGAGAGATCCTGTTGCCGTTGATGACGGAGCAGCTGAAACTTCATCTGGAGAATCATGAAGAGCTGGAGTCCTGCTGTCAGCTTCTCAGCAACATCCTTGAGGTGCTTTACAGGAAGGACGTGGTGAGAAAACACACACACACACACACACACACACACACACACGTTCCCTGTTTCTTCTTCAGGAGTGGTTCACACTAAAATGGAAAATCCAAAAGTCTCCTAAAAACTAGGGCTGTGTATCGTTAGTAGAAATAATTATTACTTGAAAGTCTAAAAAGTTAAGTATGCTTGCACCAGGTTTGAAACAACATTGCTATGCTAATCTGTGTGTGTTTATCTCATGTCCTCCTTTAACTTCTCAAACCTGTGTGTGACCCAGTCAGAGACATGAGTTTATTTAATTAAAGTTAATTAATTTCTGGCTCTAATTACGACTGTTAATTGGCCTGTTCGCTCAGCACTCGACTGCGCTGCACTTCTGGATATCTGCCCGGTTAAAACGCTCTTCTCCTTCATTTGATCAGCTACTGCCGCCATGATCAATAGGAAACTTCCACAAATGTCTCTGTTAGATGAGATCTCCTCCACTGCCACTTTTAGAATAAGAGCACTCCATGATGAGCCTCATTTGCATAAAATGTTTTAACTGGGTGCATTTAGTAATTTGGGTGGTTTTGAATAAGAGTATGATGAAATACTACACGGTAAACTGCATATGAAGAGTTCAGATGCAAAAGCCTCTAAATGCCATTTGAAATTTTCTTCTTTAATGATGATTTTTATCAAATTTGTATATTTAAGTTCAGTAATGTCACTTAAATAACAATTAATAGGTAATTATCATTGCCATTTAAGTGAAATTACTGAACTTAAATATACAAGTTTGATAAAAATCATCATTAAAGAAGAAAATTTCAAATGGCACTTAGAGGCTTTTGCATCTGAACTCTTCATATTAAACTTTATCTATCTATCTATCTATCTATCTATCTATCTATCTATCTATCTATCTATCTATCTATCTATCTATCTATCTATCTATCTATCTATCTATCTATCTATCTATCTATCTATCTATCTATCTATACATGCATGCATACACACATACACACATACATACATACATACATACATACATACATACATACATACATACATACACACATACACACATACACACATACACACATACATACTCTGGGTAAAATTCTGGGTTGTTTTAAACCAAATTGGGTTAAATATGGACAAACCCAGCCCTTGGGTTACATTTTTAACCACATGTTTGGGTTTGTCCATATTTGACCCAAAATTAGGTCAAAACAACCCAGCATTTTGTGTGTGTGTGTGTGTATATATATATTAGAGTGTGTATATATACTTTTTTTTTCCATTTTTAGTTATTATACACACATTATACATACATACATACATACATACATACGGTGTAAAATAACTAAAACTGGAAAAAAATGTATACCCTAACCTCAGTGATACTAAAATAACACTGCTTAACACAAACACACACACACACATCCGTACGTCACTGATTCTCCCACTTTGGTGATGTGGGTGAAGCATCCTTTGAACCATTGTGCGAGTGTGTGTGTTTACTTGATAATTGAGCATGTGTTGCGTAATACACACGTCACAGTCGAGCACAGAGCTCTCTCATCGCTGGTTGGAGATCCGCTGCATCCTTGGTTTAATAATTGACGAACTGCTGTGAGTGTATCAGGATCCTCACTAACAAACACACACGGACGAGATGCGATGCAGTTTATTTTACACCAGGGAAATGTGAAGACATATCTTTACTAAACTGACTAATTCAGTATGTTTCGTTGACTAACACGGCACCAGCAGGGTTAGACGGCGATCACACACACTCCCTGCAGCGCTGACTCTGCAGACAAACTGAATAGCTCAGTTCAACACAATTATTGCCATCCCTAATTGGTTTTGTAAAGCTAATTAAACTACACTACTGTTCAAAAGTTTGCAGTATTTTTGTTTTTGTTTTGATGTTTTTGACAAGTCTCTTATTCATCAATAATATGCTGCATTTATTTGATCAACAATACAGTAAAAACAGGAGCATTGCAAAATCATATTGCACAATGTAAAATGACTTTTATATTTCAAAATATAATTATTAAAGCTGAATTTTCAGCTTCATTACTCTCTCCAGTCTTCAGTGTCACATGATCCTTCAGAAATCAATCTAATATGATGATTTGATGCTCAAGAACATTTCTGATTAGTATTGTTAAACAGTTCTGATTAATATTTTTGTGTGTATTTTTGTGTATTTTTGTTAAAAAAAAAAAAAAAAATTTCTGAAGGCCTAGACTCTATATTAAACTAAAATACTGCATTAATATATTTTAAATTATATATATATATATATATATATATATATATATTCGATGGCAAAAAATGACCATATATATTGCACAAATATTAATAAATTCAATCAAATTGTCTCAAAATACTAAATTAAAAAGAATAAATATTATAGAACTAAAATAAATTGCATTGGTTTTTACTGGGATGGAGGAAGTTTCATTTTCAGTTGTCCGGTCGCTTCTGACCGGGAAGGCTCAGGACGTGACTCCTAAACGAAAACCATCAGAGGGTTAAATGTTGGTTGAACCATTTCAGAGCATCGCCGAAGGCTCAAAAACAGAGAAATACCAACCCCTGATTTGATACGTAAAAATGTGATTGTTAAATGCTGAGTTTTTTTGTCAATTCAGTGTAATTTACTGAATGTCACCCACCAGAGTTGTTTGAGTTGAATGTCATTTATGTGTGGTATATTTCTGTCTCTGTGTGTCGTGTTAGGGTCCGACGCAGTGGCACGTACAGATCATAATGGAGAAGCTTCTGAGGACCGTTAACAGGACCGTGATCTCTATGGGACGAGACTCTTTTCTCATAGTAAGTGTCTGTCTCTTCTAGTTGTTTGGCTTTCCTGTGTCCGTGGTTAGTAACAGTGTGTTATACCACCACCAATCGGACTGCTGTCTGCAGTCGTCAAATGGCTACACACACACACGGTCACAGACAGGTAGCAAAATTGTATTTTTTTGGCATATCTGAATCAAATCCTTTGTATTTGTGGTTTGGATGTAAAATAACACCCATTAAGATGATGTGTGTAGTTTCTGTGCCGCTAACAACTGTTTACAAACAGGTTTCTCAAACACTCACTCAACCTCCATTGGTCATTAGCCCCGCCCCTAAACTCACACTATTGGTTAAACCAGTGCATTTGCGTGCAGTGTGAACGGCGGTGTGCGTGTAAATATTCCTCTGCCTTTTGATCACTGCTGATCTGCTCATTTCTCAGTGTTTGTGTTGATTTGATTTCACCATGCTGTTTGTCCAGATGGTGTGAATGCGCGACGTCTTTTTGGCACTGTTTTACAGCTCCTGTGATTGCTGTGTGTTTGCCAACAGGAGCACACATGACTTTATTTGCTGCTGTTTTTTTTTTTATTTCATCCTAAGCTGATCTGAGATCAGGTGTTAGGCTCTTGGTAGTGACTGATCTCCATATGCATGCTAAACACCCCCATTCGTCCCCCTCTTATCCACCCGTTTATGTGTTTAAAGGAATATTGCACACAAAAATTATATTTTTTTTTTCATATTTTACACGTCGTCTTTTCATTCCAAACCCATATAACTTTCTTTATTATGTAGAACACAAAAGATTATTATTTTTTCTTATGCAATTATAGTTAATGGAGACTGGAGTTTTTACGTTTCAAAAAAGATAAATAGCGAAAGTAGAGATGCACCAACTTTAAAATTCTGCTCTATATAGCTAATTTGTGGTGTTTTCTTATATGACCAGTAGAGCCTGAGGCTAGCCAAGCTCATTGGTTCGATCCCCAGGTACAATACAAGTTGCTTTGTTTAAAAGCATGAGCCAAAATGCAAAAATATGAAAGCAATAAACATTTGCAAACTGCTGAAGAGAGAAGAGAGGTCTCTGCAAGAGGGAGGGGGGGTTACTCTGAATGAATAATGATGATGGATAAATCATTTATAATAAATACTACAATATTCCATTAAAAAAATTATTAGATTGCTGGATCTGATTGGCAGCAGTGCGTCATGTGTGTTTACAGCCATGTGCATGAAACGCACTCTTTCTACCCTGCAAGGTCTCTAAACTTCAGACACTCAAATCCTAATGGTCACGTCATATGCCCATTCTTTGCTCTCAGGGTACAAATACTCTTTGCTGACAATTGCAGTAAGTTTTTTACAGGGAAATGGTGAGTTTGAGAGCATTGGCTTACGCTTTTTGCCCAAAGTGTACTTTTTTTACGTGTACGCTAGTGTATGCATAGTCAAATGCCTAGCCTTTCAAAAGTACACTATCTTTGGCTATCAATGGTTTAACCCTCTGATGGTCCTTGGTCACTTCTGACCGAATAATTTTCTGTTTTGAATTTTAAAAAACTACAGCTTCATCGGAAGGTTATGATACTTGGTGATTTTTCTGGCATTTGGTATGTGAATACAAAAAAATTTGAGGTCATAATGCGAGCATGCTAAGTGGTCGTAAAAACAATAGTCACACTCGTGGTCTTCGGTCAAAAATGACCGACCCATAGGAAATGAATGGGAAATTTACAAAAATACTTACAAATCAGCCACGATTCTAAAAGACAGTACACCGCAGTAAAGGGGTGACACTCTACAACATCAAGAGTGCAAAAAATTCACACACACACATATAAACACACTTTCATACACACTTGTATACACATGCACACCAATAAATTCAGATCACAAAAAATATGTTTTGAATTTTTAACAATCACAGCTTCATTGGAATGTTACGAAATTTGGTGACATTTCTGGCATTAGGGATGTAAACACACACACAAAAAAAAAAAATGAGTTCATGATCCGAGCATGCAAAGTGGGCGTAAAAAAAGTCACAATTTTAGTCTTCGGGCAAAAATGACCCCCATAAGAAATGAATGGGAAACACTTTTTTTAACACTATTTCAAAAAAAAAAAAAAAAAAAAAAAATATATATATATATATATATATATATATATATATATAAATATTTTTTTCTGAAGGCCTAGACTCTATATTAAACTAAAATACTGCATTAATATATTTAAAAAAAATAATTATATATATATATATATATATATATACGTATATATATATATATATATATATATATAGATTTTTCTATGGCAAAAATAGACAATAAATATTGCATAAATATTAATAAGTTCAATCAAATTGTCTCAAAATACTAAATTAAAAAGAATAAATATTATAGAACAAAAATAAATTGCATTGGTTTTTACTGGGATGGAGGAAGTTTCATTTTTAGGTGTCCGGTCGCTTCTGACCGGGAAGGCTCAGTACGTGACTCCTAAACGAAAACCATCAGAGGGTTAAATGTTGGTTGAACCATTTTTAAGCCATTTCAGAGCATCGCCAAAGGCTCAAAAACAGTGAAATGCCAACCCCTTGATTTGAAACCTAAAAATGTCATTGTTTAATGCTGAATTTCAGTATCTGGAGGTCTCAGAATTACAGATTTGATTGAATATGTGTGCTTGTATGCTGTTATGTATAGACTGAGCATGTTTAAGAATGCATGTGTTGCAGTTTTCAGGATTGTGTGTAGATTGAGTGTGTGTGTGGCTGCTCCTCCACTGTGACCTTGCTCGTCAGGGCTCTGTTGCTTAGATTCAGATTTATGCATTAACTTTTCTCTGTGGTTTTGCTGCATGTGAGTCTAGAATTCAAATGAGTCTGATCAGCACGGCCACACGCGTCCTGCATGCTGATGTGCACTTACAGTACGGAAAAAGTCCAGTAGAAAATCTTCTTAAACTTCAGAAAGTCTGAGTCCTACAGATTGTTCTTGATCATCAACCATGAATATGTCATTGTGTGGTTTGTTGGAGAGGTAATATTGGAGAGTGCTTGTATTCACAGGATCCCAATTACAGAATATTTTAGAAATTTAATGGAGCTATTTTGACCTGGGCAAGTATCCAACGACCTAATATACACTAATGCAACCAAAGCAATGCCCTGTTTCTAGAACACCCAAACAACCACTCAAACAACTGCTTCAAAGTGAGTTTTGCATGATCGGACTCTATTTCGGCTCATATTTTATGATCTGATGTTAATATTTTAGTCTTTTCTCTGTCTTTGTTGCATTCAAGAGCCTCATAAGCCTCATCAATGCCTTTCAGTAGGGTTTTCTCTCTAATATGCAGTCTTGTCTGTGTCAGGATCTGTGCTTGCGTGTAATCGGAGTATATTCAGCCCATCCCATTCCTCTGCAGTAGGAGGAGCAAGGCTTTTGATTGGCTGCTCTGTTTGACTGTAATTTGAGGACTGGCAGCAGGTTAAGTCTGCAGCATCAGTGCAGCAAAATCCTCTTAGATTTACATTCTCACCACATTCTCAGTGCATTAAATATACATTTGCGATGATCGAGAGGCTCTTCGGATTGATTTCTTTCTATCTGAAGGTTTTTTGCTGACAGTCTCCCTTTAAGTTTATTTCAGATGAGTTTTCCAAACTCTCTCGCAAGGGAGATACCGAACGGTTGCCGCTGCAAGCCTGCATGGGAATTCCCTGCTTAATAAACACAAATGCACACAAACTCCTCCATTGTGACCTGGAGAATTTTAATAACTCACAGTGTCTTTTGCTTTGCTTCGGGGAATGAAAGTAAGAAAGCGAGAAATACTTTGACAAATAAATAAATAAATAAACAGATGGCTTGGCAAAGCGTCTCATCTGCATTTACATGTGTTTGGTGGTTCTTTATGTTATAGCTCGGTAGTTTTGCTCTCAATATTTCTGTACAGACGCACAGTAAAAGTAATTCCACTGAATCAATCCAATGAACTTACTTTTGCCATCTGGAGTGAATCGTAGTTCGCATGCTTGATTTTTATTTATTTATTTATTTATGCATTTATTTTTTTCCCCTCCTCGCTAGGTCACTGCAGTGAATTTATTCTTATCTCGTCTAATCTGGGTGGGCGACATCCTTCCTTAAAATCCAAAGCTGCTTTTCTCACTTTCAGTAATTACACATCCCAACAATTAACATCTGCAGCACGAGAGTCGTGGCCCAAAAGTCAAAATTGCCAAATTTCCAGTGAAAATCTAATCTAGAAAATCCTGACGTGAGAACCACCTAAAGTCAGTGTTTTCATAACCATTTTTCTAAATCATTTTTTTTGAAAATAACAGTGTATTTATGTAATTTTATTCATGTATTCCTATATATTCCTTTGGACAAAAGGTACTATGAAGTGCACGAAACAGACAGATTTCCCAGTACTCAGATAATAGAGCCACTCTTTGTATTTTTCATGTTTTATTTTGTATAGTAAATAGTTTTAAAAACTGTATAAAATACACAATATTGCACATAATAAATCAATTGCACTTTTTAAGGAACAGAAAAAACATCTAATCGTCTCTTTAGGCTACAGTAGAGCTATTGAGAATCACAACTGTTGTGGGACGAGGGGACGGCTCGTCTTGTGTTTCTGAAGTTGCCAACACACACACCAGCGGGAGAGAGTCAATTCAGTGGAAATAGTTTTTTCCCTTTCCGTGAAGTGGTTTCTTTTGCCCTTTTTTAAAAGACTTTGGCACATATCTCTGGATGGGACTCTGCTTTTGGCCTCCCAGAATGCTTTGCTCTTGTGATTTCGTTCTGTGGGCTGAAATCAGTATTGTTTGCTAGATATTTTCATCACTTAAACGTATGTTGCGATAAAAAGGGGCTCTTGATTTTCCTCTTTAACCTGTTTCTGTGCAGAGTTCTGATATATGTGGGAATAACGGTTGCATTGCATTTCACTGAATGTTCATTAAATCCACAGAGTGTGTAGAGAACCAGACTGAAGAAGTTAATGCGTTTGAGATGTGTGTTTCACTTTTGCAGGTCCAGTGGTAGCAAATCACGCAGACGGCGGTACGTCTCGACTCGATGAATGAGTTAGTCACTTTGCAGTGTGTATGTGACTTGTATGTTGTCAGGAAAGAACAAGGCATCTTCTCCCTGTAGACTTGATTCTTTCTGTACTCCCTTTTATACTCATTTTCATGTTTCTTCATCTCTCTCTGTTTTTGGCCACATGAGTGAATCTCAAGGCAAAAGACATTCAAATAGATAAAAAAGTGGTTGTATTGACTTTAATTTTACAATTAAGCATATTTTCACCCATTACTGTAAATGAATGCAACATTTTTTGAAATGCATGTTTTATTATATGTATATATTTATATCTCGGCACTGTCGGGCAGAAACTTGCATCTCTAATATCACTACTTATCAGGAAATGGAAAAACACTGTTTTAATTAATTAAACACTGTTTCGCCAATAAAAACACTTTGTAATATGGCTTTATATGTGGTTAGACACTTAGATTATTAACATTTTACCAAAACCATGAGGTTTTTGACCAGCGTTACGGACATTCTCGTTTGTCCGTCATTAAAATTACCTCATCGGAGGCAGTAAGTGCATCGTATTACGCTTTCATCAACTTACAGGTTATTACGTTTGCTGTAGCTGCCTATGTGGACGCTCAGTGTTTTCTGTCATTTGGCTAAAATCTCATGTTATTGAAAAATTAAGTGCTACGCCGGTACGCCCGGGCTATTTTAAGACCATACTGGCTATGATTCAATGATAACAAATAGACTAAGACACTATTCTCTGCTCCTCAAATACATAAAAGATATTTAATGTATAAAGCGTTTGAGTAAAAATGCCGTGCTTATAAATAAAGAACCAGTTCTTTATTTACCCTCGCATTGCAAACAAGCAGAGACGCTCTCAAATGTACGTGGCATCTCATTCCCTATATAGGTGAGCGGATTTATGAGGTTTGAGGATCCAATGGAGAATATGAGTCACAAGCTCTTTTTAATACTTTTCAATGGTTAAATATTTGCAAAACCTACAGACAGATGTAAAGAGTGACCAATAGTAATGATTTATGAAAGAAAAATCTAAATAGAAAAAATATAGAGAGATACAAGTTTTCTGCCCAAAAGCTGTATTTATGCAAAAGCCTCTAAGCGCCATTTGAAATTTTCTTCTTTAATGATGATTTTTATCAAACTTGTATATTTAAGTTCAGTAATTTCACTTAAATGGCAATGATAATTAATTGTTATTTAAGTGAAATTACTTGACTTAAATATACAAGTTTGATAAAAATCATCATTAAAGAAGAAAATTTCAAATGGCGCTTAGAGGCTTTTGCATCTGAACTCTTCATATACTGTGTGTATACATATATAGTATCTCACAAAAGTGAGTACCCCCCTCACATTTCTGCAAACATTGTAGTATATCTTCTCAAGGGACAATACAACAGAAATGAAACTTGGATATATTTTAGAGTAGTCAATGTGCAGCTTGTATAGCAGTATATGTTTACTGGCCTCTGAAAATGACTCAACATACAGTCATTATTGTCAGCTGGCAACAAAAGTGAGTAAAAAGTGTCAATATTTTGTGTGTCATCTCGGCCTGCCTTAATCCTCCTGCACATGTAATTCAGCAGATCTGCACAAGACTTATCAGTCTTCTTATAGGCCATTTTTGTGAAGAGATCATGGAGATGTTAGACTCATGGGGAATTAACCATCTGAAACGCAAGTATCAAGTAACTTTGTGCAACTTGCTCAGTTGGGGATATTCAAATTAATTAACCAATCAGTAATACCCTTGATCAACTCTACTAAACGTGGATGTTTTTCCACTAAGAAACAAACATTGTTAATATGTTCTGATTGATACTGTGAAGCTGCTTTGATGCAATCTATATTGTGAAAAGCTCTATATAATAAATAGTATACTTGACTTGACAAGTTGACCTTCCGCATCTAAACTTCTAAAGCAATGCTGGCACAATCATGCGTCTGTTTTTTGAAGCCAGCTTCTGCACCTGATGCACAGCACGAGGACTCAACCTCTTTGATTGACCCTTGCAAGGCCTTACGAGTGGAGCCAGTATTGGAAAACGTCTGCATGACCCTGGCCTATACTGTAACTCAGTTTCAGGGTGTTATCAGTCTTCTTATAGGCCATTTTTATGGAGAGCAACCATTCTAATTCTCAAATCCTTAGAGTTATTTGCCATTAGGGGTCATGTTGAACATTAATAGGTCAGTATGAGAGAATTGTACTCAAAGCACACATTTTAACTGCTCTGATACAAGATACACACATTTGTATGTCCTGTCAAGCAGACAAAAACATGAACATGATGAATAGGAGTCAGGACATGTGGCTAAACAACGTACAGGTATTCTCACTTTTGTTGCCAGCTATTTTGACAATAATGGCTGTATGTTGAGTTATTTTCAGAGGACAGTGAATATTTACTGCTATACAAGCTGCACACTGACTACTCTAAAATATATCCAAGTTTCATTTCTATAGTATTGTCCCTTGAGAAGATATACTACAATGTTTGCAGAAATGTGAGTGATATGTGTGTGTGTATATATATATATATATATATACCCACACATGCATGTATATATTTAAGAAATATGTGCATGTATATATTTTATATATGTATTTATTCACAATTAATATTATATATAAATATAAATATTATATATATTAATAACACATTTTTCTCAAATATATACATGCATGTGTGGGTATTTATATATACAAATTAATTATACACACTACACACACATATATTATGTAAACACAAACTTTTATTTTGGATGTGATTAATTGCGATTAATCGTTGCTCAGCCCTAATATATATATATATATATATATATATATATATATATATATATATATATATATATATATATATATATATATATATATATATATATATATATATATATATATATATAGTATATATGAAGAGTTCAGATGCAAAAGCCTCTAAGTGCCATTTGAAATTTTCTTCTAAAATTATCATTTTTATCAAGCTTGTATATTTAAGTTCAGTGATTTCACTTAAATGGCAATGAAGATTACCTATTAATTGTCATTTAAGTGAAATTACTGAACTTAAATATACAAGCTTGATAAAAATGGTCATTTTAGAAGAAAATTTCAAATGGCATTTAGAGGGTTTTGCATCTGAACTCTTCATATATATTAGATCTTCCATACATTGAGAAAGATAATGTGAATTCTGGGGAAAATGTGTTTATATTGTAATAAAAAAACAAAGCCACAATGCTCAAAAAAATGTTGCTTTCATTTCACTTCATTTTTTAGCCAATATATCATTTCTTTCTTTCTTTTGAAATACCATCTGGACTTGTTTTTGTCTACCTGTGACTGAATTTCCTTTCTGAACATTGTAATGCTTTCAAACTTTCAATTAGCTCTCGTAGGACCCGCGACACACACACATATGCTCAACTATACCTTATTTGCTCTGGTGTTCTTCATTATTTTTATTTTCCATAGGAACATTGTTTGATTGAGTGCAGATGTCATGTGCGGTCACACTAGACAGGACGTGATGTCACACTCTAGGGATTCTATCTAAAGTTTTAAGTAAAAATACATAAATTAATTTAAAACTGTTAAAATATCAATTTTAATATACTTTCCTGCAACACTACAAACTGTCCGGCTTTGTATTAATATATATATATATATATATATATTGCACCGAGGTCAATCTATGACATTTCGATCCTGTATTGTTAAATCGTCTTTTTTTCCATATGCAGATCAGTTCATCAATCTAGTGTGGTGACTGTGTATCACATGACTTCCTGTCACAGAAAGGTAAACATTTACCGTTGTTTCCATGGTTATGTCCGTACTTGTATTAGAAGAACATTATTTGAATTGAAACAATTTAAAATTAACAGACACAATCTGAAAACGCTTCCTATAGTTTCAATAATCCAATAAGTGAGAGAAGCTTATATATAGTGTTTCTAGAAAATCTTGAAATGTGTGATTATTAAGAATCTAGAAAAATAAGTCGTACATTTTTCCTTTTTTTTTTTTCTTCCTGGTAATAATAGTATATGAAAGTTTATATGAATTCACAGAGGCTTGGAAGATTATTTCCATATAAATCTCATGAATTCGCCGGTTTGATCTGCAAATAATGACATCCTCTGGTGAGTTTTAAATCCATGAAGTCCTCTGTGAGAATCATCATCTAGTGCATCTGAAGAGTTGTGCTTCGATTGAATGCTGAGATTGCGTCGATTTCCATGAGGAAGAGAAGACCAGAATGAAAAGCTTGTCCTGTTTTTCTGTTTTAAATACCAACCTTTAGCAGGATGAGGATCAAAAAAGAAACAATAGTTGTAAAGCAAGATTTGTTATTGATCCAGTTATGTCTCTCGCTCTTTTAAAATAATTTCACGCTCTGCTTGAGGGAAATAGTCTCATTATTCCTTTTTTTTTTTTCCGGAAGCAAATTCCATTTTTTTTCTCTCTGTTAAATATACATAGATTTAATTTTTTTTCAGTGTAAGCTGCGATATTTCCAAATCAGTACTCGCATCCATAAAGTACAGAGGAAAAAACAAAAAAAAATGATAGGATTTTCCCATTTCATCCTGATCAAAATCGGGCATAACTAAGCAAGTGAACAGATGCACGTGGAGCGTTGCATTCTGTCCTGATCCCTTCTTGAAAATATGATCAAAAGCATAATAAAGCGGCGTATGTAATCCTGCGGTCACAGAAACCAGAGTTTCCAGCGCGCGTGTTTCTTGGCCTCCGCTTTGGACTTGCGTTTGGGCGTGGAGCCGATGGTCTCCTGAGGATAGGGCAGAGGGGGGAACAGGGACTCCTCCGTGGGACACAATCTCTTCATCAGAGGCTGTAGCTTATCTTCCTGCAGTTTAAAGTCCAGCTCCACACTGCAACACAGAGAAACAGACCCTCACTGAGTGTGCAGCACAACATAAATGCAGATTCAGCACAAGCGTACCACAGTAAGAGCGTCAGATCTTTGGCGAGTCTGATAAGTACCAATAAGTATAACCGATAGTCTTCGTGTCCCTGTAGGAAATAGTTTATAGAGATGATGTCCCTGGCAGTGTAAAGATAAGTGTGAGTGGGTGCTTACACACTCATTCGGTCTCTGCGGGTGTTGCATTGTGGGATTTATCCTCTGGATCGTCCGTTTTATGTGCCGGAGATAATCCAGCGTCCACTACACATCTGATTCCTGGGATGATGAGTCACATTAAACTCCACGATTAGAGCGCAGAGATGTGGTGTAAGTGAGAATAAAAGAGTGTGTGTGTGTGTGTGAGAGGGATGGTGGAGTGAGGGATTATATCACTTTAGCAGACTGAACAGACTTCTGTCTCTTGAAGGAGAGAGTGTCTGTGCACTTACAGATCTGTATGCTGGTTTTGATCACATCTTTATATTTCGAGTTCGGAAATGTGATTGGATAAGCCATTTTCAAAGTCCTTGTAAAAAGTACTTAAGTTTTCTGAAGAAAATAAAATTGACAAGGCGACTTGAGAGCTGATTTTGACTGATGGTTGATGTAACGCTGCACTTATATCAGCGATTTCAGGCCCAGACATAAATGATCACATTCATCTAATCTTTCCTGGCGGTCCGCTAACTGCTCGCCCCATAAACTGGCCGTCAAAAAAACTAAATAAATAATAAAAAGTCTTCCAACCAATCACCGACAGGGAAAGATTAGATCAGTGTGAATTTTTTTGGGCCTGAAATTGCTGATACAACATTTAATTTATTTAATAGCAATGAAGGGATGTATAATCAAAAGGACATATTTGTTTTACCATATTTACTCCACTTATTTACTAATAATTTTGCTGAGCATTATTCATTGTTGGTCGATTTTTAGATTTTGGAACTGACAATTGAGCTAACGCTTCTTTTAAACAGTCAAGTGAGTATGAAAAATGACAAGATACATTTCGAATAAATGATTAATCAGAATTTAAATGTATTATTAATTTGTTTCAGCATTTATTTTTTTAGTAAAGCTGAAAGTTTATGCACTGTAAAAAAATATTGATGGTTTAACTTAAAAAGTAAGTAACCTGGGTTGCCTTGAAATTTTAAGTTGATTGAACTGGAAAAAGTGAGTTAATACAATGAAGGAGATTAATTTAACCATCAGAAACTCAAAATAATAAGTTATCTCAACTAAATAAATTATTATAAAGTTGATTTGACAAAGGAAAATATGTTGTGATAACAAATCTTGAAAATATTTTTTACAGTGCGTCATTCCTTAAAACGCTGCTTAATGTAAACTCATTCTGATGCAAGAGACCTTTTGGCTTAAAGATTTATTTAAATATAATAGATTTGATTTAATAAATTGGTACGAGAGACTGTAAATACAATCTTGGTTTAACAAGATGCACAGTACATGATAAAGTGCTAAAATGTAAAAAATATATATATATATTTTGCTAGATGATCCAATCTTCATATGTAAACGTAGGTTAATGGTACATTTCTGTGAATATAATATTTATTTACTTTATTTAAAGCTTTTTCTCTCCCATTTTTTAAAGAAAAAACATCCTGTCGTAATGTTTCAGTTATCGATAGTTCCTGAGACACGGGAAAGCAATCTGTTTCTCTGTGGTAATGAAGTGAAAAAGACTGGTGTTCCTGTCACGCTGACAGAGCGTTCAGATTAACAGATAGGAAGAGACATTTAACACTCTCTATGTCCCAAACCCCCTGTTCAAAATCCACTTTCGAATGTGACGCATCAGCATTGATGGCGTTTATTTTGCAGACGGAAACCAGAGAGCTGCCATTCAACATCTGAAATGAATTCCGTCTTTGAATCACTTTGACAGAGAAATGCATTGCTTTCCTGTTGATTTCATGCACTAGATTGCACAAAGCATCTTTCAGAGGCATGTTCATTTCAAATTCAATAAAAGAAATGCACTGAATTGCATATTGTTAGCCGGTCTATATTTAAAGCAATGCTTGAATCTGTTTTAACAGCGAGTGTTTGGCCTGAAAGTGAAAGGTTATGTAAGGTGTGTGTGTTATTGAGGACTCAGCATGTTTGTTCGTTGTGTGCCTGGCCTTTGATTTCAGGCACAGCACAATGCAGCAATTAGCAAATTAATCATGGCACAACCTGGTAATTATGCCCTTATCAATATGACCATGTTCAATAACGGAGAGACATGTACAAAATCACTCATTACCTCAATAAGTCTCAAGAAGCTCTTTGAACAAGATGCTTAGAGTTTCTCTGAGAGCTCGCAGTCGGTGATCATTTGGTGGATCATTCATATTGCTGGAGAGATGCTTTTTATGCTAAAATCGGATGCTGATTTTTACATTTTAAACATTTCCATTGCACTCGCTATGAATGTTTATTTGTATAATTATAATAAGTATTTACATATGTGCATTTTTATATAAAAATGAGACCTCTTTCAAAAAAGTTTCCTAAATTTTGAATAATATGCGTTTTTGTGGATTTTATACATGCAAAAAGAATCTAAAAAGTATAATAATAAAAAAGAACATTTTTTTTAAATCACAGTTTGTTGTGTTTTAGGATTAGTAGGATCCCCTGTTCAATTTCTCATTAATGCAATTATCTAATCAACCAATCACATGGCAGTTGCTTCAATGCATTTAGGGGTGTGGTCCTGGTCAAGACAATCTCCTGAAGTCCAAACTGAATGTCAGAATGGGAAAGAAAGGGGATTTAAGCAATTTTGAGAGTGGCATGGTTGTTGGTGTCTGAGTATTTCCCAATCTGCTCAGTTACTGGGATTTTCACACACAACCATTACAAAGAATGCTGTGAAAAGGGGAAAACATCCAGTATGCGGCAGTCCTGTGGGCCAAAATGCCTTGTTGATGCGAGAGGTCAGAGGAGAATGGGCCGACTGATTCAAGCTGATAGAAGAGCAACTTTGACTGAAATAACCACTCGTTACAACCGAGGAATGCAGCAAAGCATTTGTGAAGAAGACACAACACGCACAACCTTGAGGCGGATGGGCTACAACAGCAGAAGACCCCACCGGGTACCACTCATCTCCACTACAAATAGGAAAAAGAGGCGACAATTAGCAAGAGATCACCAAAATTGGACAGTTGAAGACTGGAAAAATGTTGCCTGGTCTGATGAGTCTCGATTTCAGATGGTAGAGTCAGAATTTGGCGTAAACAGAATGAGAACATGGATCCATCATGCCTTGTTACCACTGTGCAGGCTGGTGGTGGTGGTGTAATGGTGTGGGGGATGTTTTCTTGGCACACTTTAGGCCCCTTAGTGCCAATTGGGCATCGTTTAAATGCCACAGCCTACCTGAGCATTGTTTCTGACCATGACCATCCCTTTATGGCCACCATGTCCCCATCCTCTGATGGCTACTTCCAACAGGATAATGCACCATGTCACAAAGCTGGAATCATTTCAAACTGGTTTCTTGAACATGTCAATGAGTTGACTGTACTAAAATGGCCGCCACAGTCACCAGATCTCAACCCAATAGAGCATCTTTGGGATGTGGTGGAACGGGAGCTTCGTGCCCTGGATGTGCATCCCACAAATCTCCATCAACTGCAAGATGCTATCCTATCAATATGGGCGAACATTTCTAAAGAATAGAATATACCACGTAGAATTAAGGCAGTTCTGAAGATGAAAGGGGGTCAAACACAGTATTAGTATGGTGTTCCTATTAATCGTTTAGGTGATAAAAGTTTTTTGTGATCCATATTTCTACTTGCATGCTAACAGCTCTGGTTTAATGGATCATTTGACGGTTCCATCCACACTGATCTTTATTGTTGAGCCCTGAGTTCTCTGTGATTGATCTATTTTTCTTAAAGACAAAATCATTCTAGTTTGCTAAAGAATTAACCACATTTGCTGCTGTTTAGTGGGAATATTAATTGTGTTCTTTGACTTGAAGTGTGGACTCCATGACGGTACCTAGCTTTCGACTCACAAATCAATGTTTAATATTTCTCTCTGGATCAATACGGTTCTCCACAGAATAAACTACTAGAGCATCATTAGAGAGCAATGCAGTGAAGTGGCTGTCTAAAGATCGTCAATATTTCATTTGCATTAGAGAGTCGAGTACGTCGTAACCGCAACACGAGCCAACGTGAACGCAGATCCGTTCTTGTTTTCGTCTGACGGGCCTAGATTCCTCTTTCTCTCTCTCTCTCTCTCTCTCTGACGTTGCGTGGTATTTTTCATTGATCGTTCGCCTTGTCTCCTGCTCTCCACCCACGACTGTTGTCACGACCGACGCTTTTCATTGTTTCTAAGCTGCTAATTAGAAGCTGAAAGCCGTTGATAAGGCTGTATATCCCTACTCATTGCCCCTGCACGTAGCTTAACGCTGTGTTCTTTTATGTGGCGTAGGCTTTCCTTCCCTTCATCCCTCAGGATGAGGAGTGGTTTGATCTCTCTCTGCTCCTCCTGTTTAAGTTCATTAACGTAGAGGCGCTCTCATCCCATTCTCATGGCAACATTTACACAGGAAACGCATCAGTGTGGCGGTTACAGTAAGGGATCACGGTGGCCAGATGTTCATCAGACGCTGAGTGAAAACAAATGCTTTTTGTCTCTCAGACCCCATTTACACCTGCATGGTATTAAAATGCCATCTGTATCCAGATAAGTTATCCGGATAATAAGTACCGATTCCATTTACACCTGCCCACATAAATGTGTTTTTGCAAAACGGTTATAAATCCGATCTTCAACTTCCGCGTTATATGCAGATTTAATGGATTGCACGCTACCAAAAGCAACAGATTTATTGATCATCAGCTAATTTCCAAATCAAAGACATCAATAAGAGAGAGTGGCAACGGCCCTGGTAAGATCATTTCGTTTCTTTACTTGAAGATGATTGTG